CTGCTAAGCCATGCCCTCCACCCATCATCACTCAAGCCAGCTGTCATACAAGTCCCATTTCACTGCACTTTAGCCAGGTTCTTTATTGTGCACATAGTAGACTGTGGTACAGTCAATGTATTGTCATAATTTGCAAAATTACATGCCTGAACATGCAGTGAGCATGTCAACATAGTTGGACTTTGGTGAGAGCAAAGTTCATGAGTCTGCATGGTTCAGCTGAGAGAAAATCTGTTGGTTTAGGAGTTGTCTATTGCTCTTCTTGGTCCTTGTTGTTATCTACCTGGTGTGATTCCTGGGAGGGAGATCAGAGGCAGAGGGCCAGGACTTAAAGGATGATGCACTTTAGGTCTAGAGACAGTTTCTGAGATTCTCTGTTTTTTAGTTGGGTTGTCTCCAATGGAGACAGGGCTTGAGGTGGTGATCAAAGACAGTGTGGCTAGCTGGGTGGATAAGGGGGAATCTGAGGCTGAGTACAGTCTTTTATTTTTATTTTTTGGTGGGGGCTATTGCAGAGATAGTCCAGCAACAGTCACTTCCAACATGCAGCCAAGAAGATCTATATGAATTTAAACCCAAGAAACAGACCAGGTAGGAGTGCATTTTACACACAAACAGCACCTCTGCCAAATAGGGTTGTAATACCCATTAAACCTCCCAATGGTTTGATGGGGGATCAAACTTGCACAGGGACACAACTCAGGACCCTCTGGTTTAAAGTCCAGAACCATTCAACCACATGGGCCTGGGTACAGCCTTTTATTGTGGTTTAGACTTGTCTTTGTTCCTCCTCAAACAAGGGAGGGCGGTGCATCGCCAGCATCCTTTGTTCGGCTTACTGACGGATGGCAGAAATGAATTCTGTTTGAGTGGCACTCTTCCAGTCTATTCGCGGTACTCGCGTAGGTGGTCAATATCGCGTTGAGCTTGAAGGTACGTTGATGTTCATTTCGTCTCGTGTCTCGAGGTGAAGACGTTGGGTGCGGTCTTTGTGTGTGATTTGCGTGACGTAACATCATAGCTGGTTTGACACGCGTCCATTGTTTCAGCGACTAGTGGCTCGAGTTCGGACACTGGGGAGTGCTTGAGCCTTGCTACTGTCAGCAATGGGGAACTCAGTAGTGGTTCATTCATGTCAGGAGTCAGCCTGTGCGAAGTGAGGATGCCTGAGGAGTTGCCATTGGAGTATATCGACTAACTACTACATAGATGTAGTTAGTGGCTCCCGCCAGAATATCTGAGACATCACAAGACTACGACACGTTTCTCCTGACCATCTAAGGTGCAGGAACGGCTTATTATCCTGCTCGATGCTTTGATAAGCAGAATCCCTTGAGCCAGGCTTGCAGTGGCTAGACGCCGAAACATTATATGGTAGTGGTTCTTGATCAAGGGTCCCCCCCCCCACAACACCTTTATTTTTAGGCTTCACTTACGATACCGCTTTGCTGATGACCATGGTGCCCTCGGTGATGACCATGAAGCTCTCGACGACATCTTCAGCCAACCGATTGGCCCAGATTCCTCCCGAGACGGCGAACTTTGAGGAGATATGGACATTCCTCAAAGCAAGCGTCGACTGTATCATGTCCAATCCCAAGGCTGTCCTTACTTATGCCAACTACATCAACCTGTACACAGTGATAGACAATTACTGCACGTCGACGAATGCGTCGGTAGGCATTGGTGACAGCAAGTTCGAACTTGTAGTAGTGCCACACTCGTGCTAACAACTATGCAGCGGGCGCCAATCTAGTCGGATCCGAGTTGTACCACAAGATGACCGAATACTTCACGATATATTTCGCCTCTATGAAGCAGGTTCGTCCTTGTCGCACCACAGCGATCGTCCTAATAACCGTATACAGACAGTTGTTTCGCTGCAAGAAGAGGAGCTCCTACGATATTATGCATCGGAATGGCATCGTTACACCACCGGGGCGAACTACCTCGACCATATCTTCGCCTCTTTCAATCGACATTGGGTCAAACTACAGCGCGATGAGGGGAAGAAAGAGATATATCCTGTGTATACGGTGAGTGGCGGCGGCCAGCAGTCATGCCGTTACCATTGACATCATCTCTATCAGCTTTGTCTCGCTCAATGGAAATCGCAATTGTTCCTTTTTATACAAACGGATAATCAGAAGCTGGCCAAAGCTGTCCTCCGCCTTATCGAACGTCATAGGAACGGCGAAATGATTGACCAGAGGCTTGTAAGGAACATGGTGCTGTCTTTCGTATCCTTAGGCCTCGACAACACCGATCTCAACAAAGAGTGTCTGGAAATGTACAATGAGTACATTGAAGCGCCGTTCATCCAAGATAAGGAGCAGTCCTACAAGAAGGAGTCAGAAGCTTTTCTTGCCGAGAATAAAGTTTCCGATTATCTGAAAAAGGTAGAAGAGCGTCTACGGGAGGAGGACCGAGTAGAAATATATCTACACACCAAGACGCACAAAGAAATGATTCAGAAGTGTGAAGAAGTGCTCATCCGCCAATGTGCCCAGCCGATGTGGGACAGCTTCCAAAAACTCCTGGACTTTGATCAAGACGAAGACCTCCAGCGTATGTACGCACTGTTGTCGCGTATTTCGGGCGGACTAGATCCGCTGAGGAAGCGATTCGAGGTGCACGTCAAGCAAGCAGGTCTATCAGCGATCTCGAAACTGGTGGGAGAGGGCAGTGCCGTGGATGTTGACCCCAAGATATACGTGGACGCATTGCTGGAGGTTCATCAGAAGAACTCCGAAACTGTTGCCCGATGTTTCCAAGGGGAAGTTGGATTTGCGGCCATTCTCGACAAGGCGTGCGAAGGGTTTGTCAACCGTAACGCCGCCACCGGATCGTCATCGACCAGGTCGCCCGAGCTGCTCGCCAAACACGCAGATATGCTTTTGCGGAAGATCAACAAGATGGCTGAAGGAGATCTGGAGAGCGCGCTTAACCGTGTGGTCGGTTCCTCATTCAGCCAATTTTGGATTTGTATTGATTGGGTCTTTGTAGATGGTTCTCTTCAAGTATCTGGAAGACAAGGACGCCTTCCAAACGTTCTACACCACCAAACTTTCCAAGCGACTCATTCAAGGCGTATCTGCTTCTGATGAGAGCGAAGCCAGCATGGTATCGAAACTGAAGGAGGCTTGCGGTTTCGAATATACCAAAAAGATCCAACGCATGTTCACCGGTTCGTTGTTTTTGCGCCAGTACAAAATGTCTGACTAACCGATGCCCACAATAGAAATCAGTCTGAGCAAGGATCTTACAGATTCATTCAAGGACCAGAACCACGATGATACGGGCATCACTTTCACCGTCATGGTCCTCGGCACTAACTTCTGGCCTCTCCACCCTCCGACCCACGGCTTTACCATTCCCGTCGAGATCATACCTACCTATGAAGGTTTCACGAAGTACTACCAGAGTAAACACTCCGGTCGTAAATTGACATGGCTTTGGAACTACTCGACGAACGAACTGCGAACTAATTACCTGAACCAGAAATACATCTTGATGACTAGCGCGTACCAGATGGCCGTTCTTGTTCAGTACAACCGAAATGACACGTTATCCTTGGATGAGCTGTCCGCAGCGACCGCGATCAGCAAGGACATCCTGTCCCAGGTATTGGCGTTGTTGGTGAAGGCTAAGATTCTCGTCAATGAGGAGAAGGACCAATACGATTTGAACCCTGGTTCGTGATAGGTTCCGCTCGTGCCTTCGCTTCATTGACCGGTCCTTATTCTCTCTTCAGGTTTCAAGTCAAAGAAGATTCGGGTCAATTTGAATCAGCGAATCAAAGCTGAAGTGAAGGCCGAGTCTTCTGACGTCCTCAAGGCCGTCGACGAAGACAGGAAATACGTTATCCGAGCTGCTATTGTTCGGTTCGTACAGTTCGCACTGTGCGTTCTCCATACGCTGACGGTATTGCAGAATCATGAAAGCCAATAGGACGATGAAAAACCAAGCCCTGATCCAGGAAGTCATTTCCCAGGTCTCTCAGCGTTTCGTTCCCAAGATTCCTGACATCAAAAAGGTGCGGTCCTGTTAGGCATATCGAAAAATACCTGTTCTTACATATATTCTTCCCACCAGGCCGTGGAGGCCCTTTTGGAGCAGGAGTACATAGAACGAGTTGACGGACAGAGAGACACGTTTGCCTATGTTGCATAATTTCTCTGCTCCCTTCCTCACTTGTATCGCCACATCATCGCTCATTCCTTGTATCATAATGCATATACGTTAGAAAGTCGGCTTAGTTCCTGTCATATACATTACTCGTCGTAATACACTGGCCTATTACATCTTTACTCCAGACTCGATTTCTCCCGAAATCATCGTACCGCCTTTACTGCCGGTGAGGACTGGATAGGCGGAGGCATAATTGTGATGAGAAACACAAAGTAATGGCAGATACTGATCGGTTCCTTGAGATGGAAATCTTAGGACGTGCAAGCAAGATGGAAGCTATTTCGCGAGCTTCGGCAAGAGTGCTCATGTGCTCACGACGAAAGATGAATCCGGAAATGTTATCAAGCTGGTGGCTTTCATGACAATCATGCTCACTCGCTCTGCTGAGAGCATTGGCTCCCTCCTGCGAGGGGATCTCGAGGACATTTGGCGGGCTCTCTGGATGTGCTTGTATGATTCGTTCGGAGAGTTTGCCGGCGAGTTGAGCGTTCGTCTGATGGATCCCGTATCTCCCTTTCTTTGCTGTGGACAAATGAAGGCTGGTCTTGGGGTCTCAGCAAACCAGGTTTTTTTCTGGTATCAAAGTTACTTCTGTTATTGATAGAATTACATGCACATGTAACGAAATGCGAATGCTTATATCTCTTTCTCATGGTCAAGCGCATATTCCAATGTCGATTTCAGTTCCTGCCATTGCCTTGCCTGCCTTCAATTCATTAGCACGGTAGCCCATATCCAGCATCGCTTGACAGTCATCTACAAATTGCTTCGCCTGGTATGTATTCCCATGCACTTTGTCACGCACCGGATACGAAGATTGCATTCCAGTCCCAAGCCACCCGACCACTCTTCAAACTGTATCTTCGCCACGATTACCACCGTCTCCACAGTCAGGATCCGCTCATGATCGCCAGAAACGGTAGACGCCATTGCGGCGAGATGGAATGGTAGAATCGGATCGGTGCCGTAAGTGCACATGAAAGATAACTTATGACCTTTCGATTGAATGGACGAACGTGGGATTGACATGCAAGGATGGTGGAGAACTGGCAACCAACGGAGTATGCGTAACTCTGGATTTCCAGTACGATTTGAAATGATTTGGAGCAAGCTTTCCAATGTCCTGCCACAGTGACCGACACGCATTGTACACTAAGCTGTCCTCGGATGCTTCGGCGGCGGCGAGTCTGGAGACGCTGTTTGCCTTGTTCAGACAGGCGATCCGTGCAAAGAAAGCGTTCCCAGTAACCTCGTAGTTCCAAGAGTGTAGCATTGGTACAGAACCTCGAGAAGGCGCCATACGTAGATTGATTCCATTCATCTGACGACTTGGCTAGGTCTGCGAGTTTTTGACACTGATCCGATGAGAGGGTTGCGAGAAGCTTTATCAAGGTAAAAAATCGTAGAAGATTTCCCATATGTTGCTGACATGAGTTCCCGCTTCATCATCTGCGAGCAACGTCAAGAGCAAGACATTTCGAGATAGACACCAAAGTGAGTTTCAAACCAGGTTGAACATGCCACACTTCACGCTTACCGAGTACATCGGGCTCAATATCGCAGCAAGTTGCATCAATTTTGTAACGAGCTATATTGAACAAATCAGTCATTCATAACTTCGGGAAAAAAAACGGCTAAATACGTACGGGCTACAAGGTCAGCAAAGCAGGTATACAAAATACTGCGAGGATCTCCGCATCCCAAGAGGGGAATATCCGCAGGGATGTTGGGGGATAATTCCTAGGTGAGACAATTAGGAGGAGTGTTGCCAATCGGATAGAAAAATGCGCTAGGCCACGACGGGGGATGAGACATGACGAGAGAAACAAGAAAGCTAGAGGTGCTTCATTCTGGTGTTTTAAGCTCATTCTCAAGACACCTCATGGCGGAGAACACGCTTGCTACACGTGCCTGTGAAGAGCCAGAAGAGAGTCACACTGAACTTGCATCGCAATGAATTTGAGAAACATCAGCGTTCAAGGTTTGGGAAATGGAGAACGCCCCCGCAGCACGTGTCTTCCCGTGCGGAGGGGTCCCCGGGGAACACGAAAATATCGCACCCGAAGGACGTATGTCAAGGGCAAAATAGCTTACCTTGAGGATCCAGGTGGTCGGACCATTGACTAACGAATTATGCCTATAGGCGTTCGCTGCGAAAAAAATAAAAAGTGACATCCGACACCGGTCTGAGCTGGCGGTGCATCGCTGCGCAATAAGATACGAAGATATTCCTCGTCTAGAGAGCCCCGTTCACGAAAGCCAGAGTACAATTGCCAAACCCACAACCAGGGCCATCGTAACATCGGCCCGTGGGTAGCCAAACGACTCAGACACCTCAAACCACCAGATATCTTTCAAGGCGGTCAAAACTTGGTAAACGTTCAAAGTTTTATTATCACCTACAGTAATACAGCTCCCAAATGATCTTGCCGCAGACGCGGAAAGCGGCTCGCAGATCTTAAGGTAAGAAATTGGGAACAGCCCCGGTGTCCAGAGTCTTACGTCACTCAACGCTTATTATCGGTGCCTCTAACCAAGCCTCGGCTTCTTCCTACCATGAGGGTTCGCTGCATTACCACTGGCCCCTTGGCCGACGTAAACACCATTACCTCCACTCAGACTACCAAAGCTCGCCGAGCTACCCGGTTTAGATTGCGTCTGAGGCTGGGCAAATGGCGCGCCTGGCGCCATGAGAGGCTGATGTGGGTGTGAATTATTCATAGCCATAGGAATCATCGATGATGGACCTTCGTCCTGGGTTATTCGGCGAGGCGGTGGTATCTGATGTGGTGCCACGGATTCGAAGGCGCTGCAAGTTATTGAGTAAACGGGCTACAGGCGCGAGAATTAGAAAGGAAAAAAAAAACGCACTTCCATGTTGGTAAGGGCTCCTCGTGGAACCATTTATGTTGTAGCGCCTCACTCGCAGTAAGCCTCTTGTCTGGGTCGTATGCAAAAAGATGCCGAAGAAGGTCGTAGCCTTGCGTGGAACGTATGCGCGGTTGACACCAGTCATGAAGGTGATTGGGAAAGCTGACTATTGCATGAGAGTCTGACGGAGCGCGTGGAGGCTACTCACAAGTCCAATCGTTTCATGTTCTGATATTCTGGCATATTCCTCAGTCCACACCAGTCCTTTTCTGAAATGAATACGGTCAGCAAGGGCGCCGATTTTGTATGACGCAGCACGAACCGTCTGGTGTTCCTAGAACCTCAAATATCTTGAGTAACTGGTCCCGCTGAAAGGGCACGTTCTTCTTCGAATCCAGCTTGGCCTCTTCACCTTTGAATATCGGTCGAAGGCTGGCTAGCTCCGCCATAACACATCCGACAGCCCAGCAATCGATCGCCTTGTTGTAATGCTTCGCTCCCATAAGCAACTCCGGCGCCCTATACCAGATTGTCACGACGACCTTGTCTCCGGCGAAGAGTGGCTGAAGGGGCTCATACACAAGACGAGCGAGTCCCAGGTCACCAATTTTCACTACACCCTCGGAGGTGATGAGAATATTGGCGGGTTTGAGATCTCGATGTAATATATGGCAGGAATGGAGGTAAAGGAGACCGTTGAAAAGCTGATAGATCAGGGACTTCAACACGGGTGTAGAAATGGAACAACGTAATGTTTGGGAATGATGATGTATAACTTTCTGTAAAACATTTTGCGCGGTGAGCAGATAGATGGTCCATTCAGATGGTTTGCACTGACTAAGAAATCATGCTCGGCGTAGTCAAAGACCATGTATATGGACTTGTCCTCTAGAATGACCTCCTTAAGGGACACGACATTATCATGATTTATTTCTCGATTGAGCTGTAAGGTTTCGATATAAGTGGGAAAATAAACGTTATAGATGCAACTCACCGCGATCTCTCGGATGGCACTCTGACTGATACCAGTGTATGTGACCACGTCGCCCTCCTTGTCAGGCTTGAACTTCTTTATGGCATGAATCCTCTGATCATCTCCAAGACTCTGCGCCTTGTATACACGTCCATAAGTCCCAGAAGAGATGAAGCCGAGAATGCTGTATTTCGACGTGACTGGACGATGAGCTTGGTCTCTTTTGGCGCGGTACAGACGCATAGGATCATGTTGAAGGACACTCGAAATTTCATCCAACATGTCAAGAGATATCTTGTCGTCAATCCAATCACCGAGGACTTGTTACATGGCCCACAGCCGCAAGTACGAGGGGAATGATTACGTAAGTACCCTGTTGGGCGAAAATATTGCAAAAAATATTCAAAATTGTCGTAGGAATGAAAAAAAATATGCAACAAAATCAGGATGCCAGTCATATATTATATACGTCGTTACATATCAGACCACTTTCTATTACACCAACACAACAGCGCTTCCCTTGATGCTGATAGACAAGGAGAGCGATAGTAGAAACGTGACACAATCATTATGCAGCTTCGAAAACATGTACGCAATTGGCTTGATTCTTTCGAATGTCCGTGAACCTCAACCAGGTCGATTGACGCGCATAGGGCATGGATGGCTACTGCAGGATGCAAGCGGCAGTAGGGTTCGGTTTATTTCCGGATTCTGTCCTAGACGCTACACATGCTGCAAGAAACCCCGGAAATAGGTGTGCAGTTCGAAGAAATGTGGAAAAAGAGACAGAGGGGGGGTGGAGGAGAAATGGAGGAGAGAAACCTCTGGTCATATATGAGTTCGAATTGTCTGCACGATGGACGGTGCCAAAATATGGATTCATGGTATAAAAATAGAGCTGAGGCGAAGAGATTGGAAAATGTCCGAGCATGTAAAGCCGTGGAATGACTCTTGTCTTACGCGGATGAAAACAGAAGTATCTCGTAGGTGCCACCCCGCAGGGGAACGATTATGTAAGGGAAATATTACCAAAAGAGAGGTATCGACGACGTATCGTGTCAAGTTTCATCATCTTCTGTCTATTACGACGCGCTCGACCTGGCATACAGCGGCATCGACGATGGAGAAGATACCAGAAAGCTTTACTTTTACCGTTGGCAAACTCGGTACGGATTAATATTCCTGTATCGTATCCGGTACTGACATAACCACAGATGCTGGAATGGCTGTAAGAGCGATTCTTCGGGACATCGTATGCTGGGTAATTGACCTGACCATCACTGCAGATTCTGCTGGGTGAACGCGCTCACCTTATCGAGTTTCCTTCTGTCCTCTTACCGCCCGGAGCGACGACGGGGTCGATAGTCAGCATTGCCGTGCACCAAAATCACGCAGAAGAGAAGCGACGCGAGGAGGACTTTTGGTCGTTGCAGGAGGACATTCTGAAAGAATATGGGGTCGTGAAGCCGTCCAATCCTGACCTTCAAGTGGCGTTATCCCATTGTGCTGGATGAAATAACCCCGCTAACCGTCTTGTAGCTACGCCATGTTACCCAGACCTCAGTCACACTCGAATGGCCATCTATCCAGCTCGCCACAGCAAAACTACGCTCTCTGGATATCTACAGGAATGGCGAACGACTGGCATCGATACCGTCCCCACTGACCAACACCTCGACAAAGCTATCCGGCCTCCAAACAGACGAAGAATACACCTTCCAACTCATCCTTCGAACCACCGCCGGAACTTTCCCCTCAAACATCGTCCGCGTCCGCACCCACACCATGACCAACACCTCAGGCATCTCCGTATGCTTCGGCAACGTCCAGGACTCCGTCTTTCTCGAGAACACCAAGATGGCGCTGCGGGAAATGAAAGCCAAATGGAGCGACAAGATACAAATCGACACGACCCATTTCATATGTACCACACCAGCTATGACGACGAATGGTGCACAAGCTACAGGGGACACCGCTGGCGCCCCCGGGATCGAATACCAACGAGCACTACAGCTCAGCATCCCAGTCCTCTACCCAGACTGGGTCATCGCATGTTACACCGAAAAACGGTCAGGCCCCCCTCACTCACATCCACCCATACCCCCCTCTCCCACTAAACTTTTTTTTTTTTTTCTCTTTTCTACAGAATGGTTCCCATCGGTGCTTTTGACCTCAAAGCCGACCGAGTGACACCGCTGCGCTCCCAATCACTATCCCAAGTCGCTATAAACCGCAGCCCTGACACGGCCGCCCAGCGCAATGCCACCAATCGCGCCTCCATGCCGGCGACAGTCTCATCCACCTCACCGCCCGGCACGCACTCCCCCTTTGTCAACCAACCCGCTTTCGAATCCACGCCTGAAGAAGCTGCTGCTGCTGCTGCGGAAGAAGAGGCTCGAGCTCCTGCGACGGACGTGTCGACGAGGAGGAAGAGCAGGAGCGGGACGATGAATCGGGAGTTCAAGTTCCCTTCGCCATTATCGTCGCCCACGGTCGCGAAGCGTGAGTCCGGGGCTGCCAGTAGTAACTCGCCTCCACCTATATTGCGGGGTGAGCTGGGAAGGCAGGAGGGTGTTATGACACCTTCGAGCATAGAGGTCCCTCCGCCGCCGCCCGTGGAAAAAGAAAGATCGACAAACAGCGTAGATGAAACGGAGGATGATGTTGGGCCCACGGTAGAGGTCGATTTGAGCTGATCAGTGTTTAGGACTAGGACCTTTTCTCCTGTTCCTACTCTACTTAATGATATAACCTAAAGGCGAATCCCTCACCCAACAATGCATCCTTTCTGGGGTATATATATTATAGCATGGGTAACAACACAGACAGAACGCTGAACAGTCGAGATAATCATGATAATCCCATGCCTTCGCTCTTATTATGACAGATCGGACAGCCATGTTCTATCTGCGCCCGGACAATGGATTCGCTGAGTAAAAAAAAAAAAAACGTTGAACGTTGAACGACCATGAAAAAAGAGAACTGCTCACAATGCAATTTTCCCGCTCATTCCTCTCCCAGACGGACCTGCTATTCCAACTCCACGGAGCACAGGATCCGGCTGTGGGGGGAGGTGGTCGCCGCCACTAACGCAGGACGCATGGACGACATGCCGGCACAGGAACAGCATTATCAACGCCTGTGGTGATTGCTGTAAAGGCTCGGTACATATAGGACATGGTCTCGTCCCTAGAGAAGATCTGTCAGGCCAGGTCTCCAAATAATATCATGTATTGTATAGCACATACCAGTCAAGAAGAACCCACTCGTCTGGTCCGCGTAGAGCTTACGCGAAAGATCGGATATATCGACGTTCAATATCGTCTGACAACCATCCAGCAATGATATCTGAAGTTGAAAGTCCTGAAGGATCTTGATGAGCGCTTCCTTTAGTCCAGGGATCTCCAGTCCGTTCTTGATTCGTCTGATCAAGCGAATAGGATTGATCTCCGGTCCAACATTCTCCAATAGGCCCCGGATGAACGCTAGATATGCCCCCAATTAGGAGCCGCGTTAGTAGGATGCAGATTCAAACTAATACTGACCTGGACGACTTTCGGAATACATGAGCAGGTCCTCCCAGAGGTCATCGTCGGCTTGCTCTTTCGCAAATTCGATCGCCTAAGACGACGATAAAGTCAATTTTGGAAGGCGGAGGGCCAACTGACGAGAAACCTGCCTGGCGAACATCACCCAGTTTCTCAATGATAAGCGTGAGCGCCTTCTTGTTGTTTCCCATACGACCAAGAAGATACACCATCTCCGGAACCAGGTCTCGATCTTGACAAACAGTATACGCCTAAGACGACGATCAAGTATCTTGATACAGAAGAGAATGGAGACGGCCTACGATCTCAAGGTTGTAGTCAGTGCTCGCACGAAGGAAATCGACCAATCTTTGCCTCGCGTATTCAGCATACAATTTCACCTGATAATAGCTTTTAAGATACACGTCCAATCTCTGATCTTGGAAACGCACCAACATATCCGCGAAATTGGATACAAGCTGAGGATCCCTGCTGACGAGAGCATCGAGATAGAGAAACAGATACCGCGGCTGGGATTGGAGCTGAGGCACAACCCTTTGGATCTACAGGAGGATGTCAACGGAGTTAATGTATGCGCGTAAACACGAACATGGATAGAATGAATGTTGTCTACCAACAAAGAGATGGCATCGCTCTTGTCTTCGTCGACAACTTCTCCAGCTTCCTGCCTTTTTCTGATTCGTTCATGGTCAAACTCTACCAGAAGAAGTACCTGGTCCTGGACATCCGTAAACAGATTATGCTCCCGAATTACATCGAGAACGTTCGGTCTACGAAGACGTAGAAAGTACGTAAGAGCTTTCCCATGCTGTCGATTAGCAGTATATCTGGGACGTTTCACCATTAGTGGGCTTGGTAGAGGAAAGGAAGGGACGTACAATTCTGCTAAACACTCCATCAAGATCGTAGTGTCTGGCGACGAAGATATTGTCTTGGATGTTGAGGCGGTCTTATCCAATTCTGAACGAACCGCAACAATAACTGCAGCAATATCATAAATATCCTTAGGCCATTCCTTTATCGTTTGTTGCAATGCCTACGGGAAGAATAGTCAGATGTGTGCTTCGAGAGCCAAGTTAAAGAGAATGTTACATGTAGATCGTGCGCAAGGAAATGAGCTAGCATCATTTCATACACAAGATGATCTAACCGAGGATTCTCCGTAGGTACGTAGGGAATGATGGCCTAAAGATTGACTGAGTACAACAATCCGAGACATCCGATAACTTGCCTACCTGCAATTGCCGTTTCCCAGCGAATGTAAAAATCCAATCTTCCCATCGTTTTGAATCATGCGCGCAAACCTTCGGACATAACTGTGCAGCCTTGACAAAGTCACCTAGATTTTAATCAAGCCCAATCCTGAAAAGTCGCATGGTTTCAACATACCGTCGTTGATGAGATGTTCAATGTATCGCTGGCCAATCTCCGAAGCGGTTAAGCCATCATCGCCTTCTTCCACTGTATCGCCACTGGCCTCGATGATCTCGAGCTCTTCCAGCGCCTCTTCATACCTCTTCCGCTCAACCAGCCAATGAACATGGTCCCTCCGGTCTCGAGGTTTCACGAGGATTATGTCCCGGGGACTCAACACGACGTATGATCTACCCTCATTTGTAACGTCTGAACGCAAAGGGTCTGTATCAACCTCAGCCAAAACGTAATCGTTACAGCCCCATCTTTGATAGTTTGACACGCTAAGCGCATCAGCTGCGAGCTCTTCGCCTGAACGAGAAATTATCCGTAACTCGGGACGGTCAGCAACTTTCCGAGCCTGTTTGTCGCGGTCTTGAGTCATTTCCTCCCTGAAAGACGTGTCAGGCGGGCTGTACACTAGTATTAGCAGAGAGGAAGGGGTAGATGACTGTGTAGATATGGACGATGCTGTTCTCGTATGTTCCCCGGAATGGATGCTCGATGCATGGTCAGAATGAGAGATAGATGAGGGAGGCGTGGGGTGGGGAAGAATACCGGCAATCATGCCGTCCAGCTGGAAAACAGCGGTTATTTCAACGAGAAGAGGAGGTAGGTTGGCAGATGCCGACGTAGTAGCCGTCCGGGGCCTTGCACGAATTCTGGCAACCTTGATATGGTCTGCCCAGGATATCAAAAGGGTGGAGTCGTCCTGCCAATGAAGTGTACACTTGAACAAATCGGCGCGCGGACTGTCCGCGGGACGGTCAATGAAAGTTATCCGGGTCTGGGATGTCGTGTCGTAAATTTTGACACCCTGTGGAGGTGTTGGCAATCGTTAAGCAACAGGATCAAATAACGGACCAGGTCATTCGCCCAAGCAATCAGCTTGCCTCTCCACCGCGCCTGCCAGATCGGTCCCTCGCCGATATGCAAGACCGTCTGCCTGTGGCCAAGCCAGCCTTTCTCGTGCAACACCAATGATCCCGCCAGGCCTCCACTGACGAAAGCTCTGGTACTTTTCTTCGCGAAATTCGGCTCCAACGACACGGTGCGTGTGGGACGTTTCATATCAAAGGCGTAGGACTCGGTCGTTGACAGTGATTTAATGACGACCTGTCCTATACAGTGTATCATCATCAGCAGCAGCATTACATTGGTGCCAGTGCCTGGAGCTCACCATCAATCGAAGCCGTGGCAATGAAATCTCCAGTGACATCAATGCATATATCAACAACAGACGCCTGATGAGGCTTGTATGACTTGAACCGCTTGCCGGAGAGGTCGAGTATATGAACGAAGCCTGCATGTGTTCCTAGAGCCTTGCTTGCCCGATATTAATGCCGTCGAATTAAAAAAAATGCGAACAAACGCATTCACCATGGTTTTGCCGTTCGAAATGGCCAGAGCTGATGCTGAATCCTTCTTGAAGAGATCAGGGATGAATCCACCTATTCGTTCGTACTTGAGTGCTGGTTCATCCTCGTCCTCTTCATCATCATCTTCTTCGCCGTCTTCCTCCTCCCCGTTCACTTGCTCGTCGCTGCTTGAATCCTCGTCACGGGAGTCAACGTCACTCATTTCCGATGGGCTTTCCGATATTTCGACAGTATCTTCCTTCTCCTCTTGACCATTCACCATTGGCGCACCATTGACGCGGCCTTCGGGACCATCTGAGGTGCTCATGGCCGTCGCATCGGTTTACAGGTGGTCGTGTGTGCAGTGTAGAGCCGGGCGGAAGCCGGCTTTCCATTTCGGGGTACCGCCGATCGGCCACTCTTTGTTTGCTATGACCTTGGAAACTCTTTGATTGAACCAATAAAGGAACAGTTTGCCAAATTACTCTTGGCATGACTTAAATTGATCTAGACCCTTATCTCTGGATAACCATATGCAATTTCTGTCTATGCGACGCGGTAAATGGGGATATAAATTCCCCTCCATAGTTCTGTTCCTTCGACAAGTATGTCATCCGGCATTCCCACGAGCCAACCCAAGCCTATCGCTCAACCCCAAGTTCACTCCCGGCAGGCTGCCCTCAAAGAACGGACATCTCGCATCACAAAGAAAATTACGACGCGAGATGGATGGTTGGGGGACTATGATTATGGATGGTGTGTTTTCTATTTTGTATGCGCCATCCCCGTAGCTCAGTCCCTTACAGGCTTTGTATGCCTGCATTGCCATACGCAAAGCAGAAACGAGCGCCGCCATTCTATGCTTTAGACCAGGATCTTCCATTGATACTTGCTATTTCAAGCGGGTTTCAACATTCCCTTGCTATGCTTGCTGGTCTTATCACCCCTCCCATTATCTTCGCGTCTGCTTTAAGCCTTGATGACGAGCTCTCTGCTTATATGATCTCCGCTTCGCTTATTGGATGTGGTGAGTAAACTAGACTTGTCCAACCAGAAAAATAGTAGATTGACCCGTGCCTATCAGTCTCGTTCAAATGTCCCGGATACCGCTTTTCGGCGGTTATTACCTTGGAACCGGTTTGATCACCGTCGTCGGAACGAGTTTCGCCACTTTGAGTACTGCCAACGCCGTGCGTCGTCTTACTTTGCAATCCCTGCCAGTGAGACCAACGTGCCTTGTAGATCTTTGATGCCATGTATACCGATGGGACTTGTTCCTCCACGACTGCAGATGACGGAACTGTAACACGCTTGGCTTGTCCAGACGCGTACGGAAAGGTCTTGGGCACGTCTTCACGTCATAAACTCTTTCGAGTCTCACACACAAATAATACCTCTCCAGGAACCTCCCTTATCTGTTCATTCCTCGAAATATTCATGTCATTCGTACCTGCCCGCAGGCTGAAGCGTATTTTTCCGCCCATTGTCACTGGCACAGGTTAACCTTCACCGGAATCTTTCTCCCTATTTAATGCAGTCGCGCTCATGCATGTTCTCTTGGCAGTGATCGTTATGATTGGGGCTTCCCTTATCGGAAGCTCTGGCATCCCTAATTGGGGCGGAGGTTCCAATGATTGCATGGATCACCCCACCTCGGGATATTTTGAGTTGTGTCCCAACATTGCGGCACCACGTCCCCTTCCGTGTGTCTTCAAATCCTTATCCATAGCAGATTCCCTTTTTGACATTGTTCGTTGCAGCTGGGGATCGGCCGAATTCATCGGCCTTGGCTTCTTGAGTTTTGTCACTATAATGTTAACTGAAATGTTCGGGTCACCATTCCTGAAAAACATCAGTATCGTTGTCGGCCTCGCCGTTGGCTGTATTGTTAGTGGTGCTGCTGGATACATCGACGGAAGCAGTATCTCGTCAGCCCCGGCTATTACCTTCTTATGGTAAGGATAGCCCAAATTCTTATCTCTATCAGGAGGTCTAATCCTATTCAGGGTACATACCTTCAAAATTGGTGTATATCCTCCCGCGATATTGCCTATGTTGGCAGTCTATGGTAGCTAGCTTCCTACATCTTCAAGTCTACGTGTATCGATCTCTCTAATACAGTGTCTGTCGCGATGGAAGCCATCGGCGATATTACCGCGTCTGCTGAAGTCTCAAGAGTCGCAGTCGACGACCTCGAGTTTGACTCTCGGATACAGGGCGGAGTACTAGTACGCCATCCACCCACCATAATTCTATACTATTCATTCTGAGTTTTGGTCATAGAGCGATGGCGTCGGTGGATTCTTTTCAGCGCTATTCACCGTAACTCCCCTGTCCATCTTTGCCCAGGTAGGATTCTTTTTCTTTGTCATATTCTCGAACCTAACTCATCGTGTCACATACATACAGAATAATGGTGTGATCGCCATCACGAGATGTGCTAACCGCACAGCTGGTCGATGGTGTTGCTTCTTCCTGATCCTATTCGGCGTGCTCGGAAAGATATCCGGTGTCTTCCTGGCCATTCCCAATCCCGTCCTTGGCGGAGTAACGACGTTCTTGTTTGCCACGGTGGCTACATCTGGTATCCGTGTCCTTGCATACAACGCCTTCACTCGGCGTGATCGATTCGTGCTTGCTGCCGCTCTTTCTTTCGGGTTTGGTGACCTGTTGGTGCCTACCATCTTCGAGCACCTCTTCGATGGTGTAAACAATCCAAGCAAGGGCTTGCAAGGCCTGTTCGACTCCATCACGATCATTCTCAGTACACCTTGTGAGTAATCCTTCTTTTCGTTTCCTCGCAAAGCTTTAAAACGCGCTCTAATCTAGTCCTTGCTGCGGGTATCATGGCCGTCATTCTCAACCTTACTTTACCTCAAGAATTGGATGAGCATGAGCGTGAACATGACGACGACGACGACGGCGCAGAACTTGCTGAAGTCGAATCTCAGGAGCACAAGTCTGGCTAGGGAACTGTGTCCCATGTTCATTTATGATACATTTATAATATTCTAACAGATCAATCTACAATACCATCGTGCCTAACCGGGTTTTTAACAATCTGTAGATCGCATCAAATACAGGCCCGAAGATATACCAAAAAGCTTAAATCCAAAAAAGGGTCGAGAGCAGATCCGGGTCTGGGCAATGAAAAGCATGGAACATACGCTCCGGACAGATGTACCGGACGAGGCACCTGCTTTCATTGTTCCAAAATGACGGTGGAGGCCGTAGGATCTCATTGATCTGACACACGTCTTCTCCCCCGTCGGCAAACAGGGCTTGAGGGTCCGCCCGTGGTCGAAAAGACGCTAAGATTCAAGCCTATTCAAAAAGGCGGACGGGGCAGATGATATACTCACGACTCACGATTCACGACAGCGAATCTTGAGCGAGTGCGTCCCCATCATTGGTTCTGCGAGTGTTAAAGCGATGATAACCATTCGGGGATCACTCACGACGAATGAATGAATGTTCTTCCAGAAAGGTGTGGCGCTTGATATCTATTAATCGCCTAACTGGGTTTACGTCGAGAATGGCCCTGATCAGTAACAACCGAGAAAGAAGAGACAGTTCCCCAACCCTTCTGCAGCAAGTCATACCACTAAGCCCCGGATATATGCCAGCCATTCACTCTTCATAGGCATTCGATGAAAACACCACTCAATCAAAGTGTATCAGAGAGAGAAGGGAAACGATCGGAACTGACTAACGTCTCCCTTGAATTAAAAAAAGCAATCTCCAGAATGACGGCGCCAACCCCCCCCCACCTCTCCCCCAAATATCCGTATTATAATACACGGCGCGTCGATCTTCTCCTCACAACGATGGAATTTCCTGGCTGAAGTGTTTAGCTGTTCCCCCGATTTTTGCAATGGGTGCAATCTGTGAACTTTCGGGCACAGCCCAAAATCGGCCAAGGAAAGGTGGGACCGACGGAGATGACTGTTGGATGCGTACGAGCTCAGCGCCATTTATCTTGACGTTCTTCAGAGTGGATCGCCGAGGCGAGGTCATACGAAGCTTCTCGTTGAGTATTTATGCTTGCAGTAGGCTATCAGTTACGACGTATAATAACAGAACACGGGCCGCTCTCACCATCACCATCACCATCACCATCACACAAGTAAATCCTGTAAATCATCATCTTCATCGGAGGCCAGCAATAATCGCGTCACAGAGGGAGAACCAGGAGATCGACTAGAGTTAGAGTGCCCTTCTCGTCTACGATAGGATCCTGGCGGAGTCTCGTCGTGGCTCTGTTCGAATGTTTGTTTTTTTTCACGGCGAATACACTCGAGCGGAGTAGGAGATCAGAGCATTCAATGACTAGAGAGCAAGTGGTATTTGATACCTGAGACATCGGAACTCTGGGGGAGCGGGGGGGGGGGGGGGGGGGGGGGGGGGGAGGGGGTAAAGGTTTGTAGATAGGCGTATTTGAGATATTCCAATCGGGAGCTTTCGTCGTCGGACTCCTCCTCCTCCTCCCACTCCGTGGATAGAGGGATAGTAGAGACGGACGCAGATTTTCATGATGTTCATCTGTGGCAGGCCAATAAGTTGATGAGGGCTGGATAGGTTACGTGTCAAGATACGCTTCAGCAGAGTCCCGCATTAAGAATATGACCCTCAAGGATTTCCTTGGAATCGCATCAATAGGAGCAATAGCGATCTCCAAGGCCCGTAGGGAGAGAGACCATTCGACCGCAGAGTGGGAATCCGAGCTTGAACGATGAGTTGTGTTCGAGTGCACGGCTCGTGAGCCAAAAGTAAAGATAGGAGGATATGTAGCGATAGGCTTGAGGGATATTGCGCTACCCAATTCCCAATTTACAAAGATTCGGTAGTTGTGGAGGGAGGGGGATTGCCAGTCCGAGTCCTGGTAAGTATCATCGTTCAAAGAGCTATTAACTATCCAGGACCTAGGACCACGTTCGAGGGACTTTTAAGAGACGCAGACACAAGAATCAGTCAGTCAGCTCATACCACTGGGAGAATAGGTTGCGTAGAAACCAAGAATAACAACCGGCCTTGAGGTGTGGGCACCAAGAACGGGCCGACCGGCAAATGCCGGAAGGTGCCGTTCTGGCAGAATGGCCAAAATACGCCGAAAGTTTTTTTTTGGCTCCCTCCATCAGTACGGGTTTGCTTCCACCGTCGTCCTCGCTCGTAGCGGCGGCGGCAGCGGCGTCTTTCTTGAATATGTGGTAGTACTTTCAGCTATGGTGAGTCTCTTGTCCGCACTGGACTGCTGGGCGGCCCGGAACCGTGACGTTGCACTGTTCTGTTCTTCTACCATTGTGACTTGGATTGGATTCGTCCCTTACTGTTTCTTCTTCTCTAGATGTTATGTTTCATTCACGAATGATCAGTGATGCGGTCGGGAATGCTGGAACGTTGGGCGTGACTAGAGAGGAACAACACAGTTGGTAAGCCTATCCAAATCTTGCGATACCCTTACTATTCAATTATCATTCAAATTAGAGTATATGACGGCTCTGTGCTTTTCTCTTTACCTTTACTGAACACCTCCGATGTTGATGATGTCTCCTGTTTCTGACTCTTTCCTAGATCCCTTGCTTGCAGCAGGCAGTCTTTTCTGAAAAACGGTTCGCGCGAACTCAACCAAGGGCTAAAGGTGTGTCCCTGTTCCTTACACTCCCCGCCTCGTCGTGATGCAACAATGGAGTTACCGCCTGATCTGCGTCCGCGTCTTCGCGATGCAGCATTGACGACAATCCCACGGCTGTTTTTTTTTAAAAAAAAAAAAAACTCTGAACCCTCACCAGTATTAATATGCTTGTTGACCTTGGTCATTGACGACTTTATTTATTTCAGGTTCTCACGGATTACTACTACTACTACGAACCTGCGGTGAGTATATAATAATCCCTATCCATTATGATGATGTTTTATCACGACGGTCTTCGTATTTCGCTGCCGAAACGGCCCGCCACAGCTCAATTTTTTTTTCGGGCAACCCCATCTGATCATTCTGTTTCTCTACAACAAGGACATATACTAATATTCCTTCGATTACCCACACAGATGGCATCATTGGTAACGGCATTGGCGTCACAAGTAATTGCGATGTTGTCGTACCTTCAGTCCTGTACAGTTGGCCCGGGCAAAAACCTATCCAACTCTTCCAATATGAGTGTAGCTTGGCTGATCGTCAAATCATGACCGGCATCTTCAATCGTCACGAGCTCAACATGGGTACCGTCTGGTAGTAGAACCGGGATGTTGCTTGCTGCTGCATATGCCACTACTCGGTCGTCGGTTCCCTACGAAAGACCGCTATGTGAGGGCGGGACGACGTCTGCACATGAACGTGTGCGTACGTGGAGGTGTAAGACCTTGTGTCTGTCAAAGGCGTCCGACTGATATGCATATGCCATCCTGCGTACTGGACCGTCGTTGTACAATGAGGAAATGGCGTTGTTGAATCTCGTCAGATGGGTACGTTGGAGGTGTATAATCTGTAAATTGGTGTTGGTTTCCAAGCGAGTGACGAACGACGCACTTGGGATGTAGGATCCGGCTGTGCGTGTGATGTCCTCTACCCATTGAGAGGTTAGAAGAACTACGCTTGGAGATGTGGAGAGCCGTTGACGTACAGGAACAGCAGGCACGATACGATGCACTATACTCGGCGGTGGGGTTTTCAGGTTCGGGGGTGATTCATTCAACTGTGTTAGAGAGATCGAATATTAGTCGATCGTGAAGCAATACGAACCCTAGTGACACCCGCTGGCGCGATGAGGACGATGTGCTCTTCAACGACGTGTGGAAAATGATAAAGCACTGCTGCGGTGACAGCACCGCCCTAGGTGAAGTCGCTTGAGCACTGCGTTCTCAGGTTTGGGCATCTGCGGCGCATCAGAATACCTCGTCCATAAAGATCTACCGACGCCAGTCAGTCAGTCAGTCAGTCAGAGATGGCGTATCGTCTTATCCGGAGAGAGAGACCACTGGCCATAGAGCAAGACGCGATATCGGCGTTCAGCCAACTGGGGCGCGATGTCTTTCCACGCAATAGATGGGACGGAAAGGCCATGGATGAGAACGACCTTGCACCCCGTCTCGGGACCCCAAGAGCCAATAGCGTGTCTAGTCTTTCTTCATCACGTACCTACGGGAGGACTTACGCGGCCATATGGAAACTCGGCATACGAACCGCCCGGATAGAAGTCCTCGGGATACACATCCCATGCCCATGCCCATGCCTGGGGGGGGTGCAGTCGTGAGAGACGGGAGAATCGTTGGAATAGGTTGGGCTCTGGATTCGATTCAACAAAGACGTGAGTGGGTCTCGCCCATTACGCGCGAACGGGGTTAGTGAGATGATACGTACGAGAAGCAATTGCCGCCGCTGACGAAAAACACGGAGAGACGGAACGGGACTCGGAGAGCAAATATGGCTTGGTGGACTTGGGTCGCAATGTTGCTTTTAGGTTAAGGATCACTGAGGCTGTTGGCGGTCAATGTAGAGCTTGATAATAATGGCATGTCTTCTGTAACTGTCATAAACCAAGTTTATAGCCATTTCTGGTGACTTGGTCATAAGAGTCCTAGCGTTTTTGGGACTTGTAGCTAGACATGGCCATTGATGACCCTTTCGGCCCCTATAGACGTGGATGAGAGAAGAGGTATAATCGGACTTTGTCATAAAGCAGGATTAGATTTTGGGCGTAGGAGGGCACTCCACGAGATCACCGAAATGGTCACCCTTCAAGTTAACCTGCCATAAACTTTCCTCATAACCTGGTTTGTTTCTCTTTACTCGCACGTCACTGTTAAGCTGTGTGACCAGGTCACTCTTTATTCGCCATAACACACCCCACTGTCCAGGCACGTAGTCCCATGAACCGTGGCGGGAGAGCCAAGTACCCCCCCGCCTTCCGATGGCGATGGCACATACTCACGTTCCAGTATTTCGAAATAAGGTCGTCGGGGTGGGTGTTACATGCACTTTGGAGTGTACCGCAATCATCTATGCAGAGTACTGCTACAACGAACGTATCGGGTATGGTATGTATGTAATGGATACCTGTGCGAGGGAGGCGTAGTAATTGATCTTGTAAGTTGATCTAGTGTAGTGGATGGATACCAACGTGTAATATATGATATATGTAGAGCAGTACAAAAAGATCCAATGACAGATGTTGGATTGCGTAGTGTAAACAAGCATGAGAAGGACCAGAAACAGAAACAGAACAGGAAACAGTTTGACTAAAACCCATAAAAATAAAGAAAAAAAAGAAAAAGAACGAAAAAAGGAGAAAAAAAAAAGATTAGAGCAAAAATTTATCCATCTCCGCAAGCACAAGACCGGGATGGCTTATCGTCAAGTCGTGGCCCCCGTCTGACACCGTGACCAATTTCGACGTCGCACCAGGAGGGAGGAGGGCTTGTATCTCAGAAGCATACTTGTACGAGACGGTGCGGTCATTTGTGCCCTGAGAGCAAAAACAAATGTGAGCGTGGGCGCACGTGAGACCATAATAAACCTATAAATAGCCAACGGTTCGTAACATACATGTATCAGGAGGACGTCCCGGCCATTGAAGGCATCTGACTGGAAAGCATATGTTAACCCCCGAATGGGGCCCTCCCGCAGCGAAGAAGAAATGGCGGCGTTATATCCCGATAGGTGCGCAGACTGTATTCGTACAATCTAGACAAATCATAATAAATGCACCCACCCCCCCCGTATTCTAATTACGTACCTCTTGTAGAGAGTCAGAGTCAGCAGGTGGCGGCGTATCTGTTAAGATCAAGTTCTGAAGATATTTCTGTAGAGATTTAATAATGATGAGTACCCCCGTCTGTGGGAGAGTCAGGGTCAGAAATCTATACTCAACTCGTACCGGTGCACTTGAAGTAACGCTCTGGATCACTGGAGAAGACATGAACTTGAGAGTCCTGGGAAGGTCGCTAGACTATTTCTGGTTTTTCAGTGATGGACACCACATCATACTTGTGGAATCGTACGATACCTCAATAATCCCAGTAGAGGCAATGAGGACCACTTTTCCTTCGACGAGATGAGGGAAATGAGCTGTGAACGCGGCAGCAATGCCGCCTCCCTAGACGTTTAATAACAACATTAGAGCGGAGACAAGGGGGGGGGGGGAAATAAAAGATAACGCACCATCGAGACACCAACTACTATCGCTTTATCCCATTTGACATGTTGCATCAGGAGCGCCAGCTGAGTGGTATACAACTGGGTATTGTACGTAGTTTGTGGCGCATCGGTGTATCCACGACCGTAAAGATCTGGTAAAAATAATAATAATAATAATAATAAATTATCAGTCGAAATTACGCCACACGAAACGATATACGCACCATACATCAATACGCGATACCCACGGGCCGCCAACTGAGGTGCTATGTCTTTCCAGATGAGCGAGGGCACCGAGAGACCATGAACAAGGACAATCTGCCGATGAGATTCCGAGTCAGACGACGATCGGCCTGTCTCAGTATTTAAGAAAGAGATCGACGAACCTTTCGTCCCGCTTCGGGGCCCAACAGCCAATATCGAACCTGTGAGGGCCGCGGAAAGCATGAGCATATTAGAGGATATTCCTTGGACTATCCGGTCGTACGATCCGATCCGTCAGGCAAAAAGAAAAAAAAAAAAGTACTCACCCGACCGTACGGAAGCCCAACGTATGCTCCGCCGGGATAGTAGTCCTCTGAGTAGATTTTCCAGGACCGGCATTCCTGTGGTAAACTGGAAAGTGACGGATAGAGATATACTGCGCTTGGGGGGCTGGGAAACACAGCGAAGAGGTACGTGGTGAGGAGCAGAGGCGGCAAGATAAGGAGGGCATAGGTCAGGCAGTGCCAGGGATGGGGAACCATGGATGTTGCTGGGGGGGGAGGATGGAGGTCGTGGCGAGAGGAAAAGGGATTACACATGGGAATATGCAATCAGACAAACGAACGCAGCGCGCGCAGGGTGGGTGGCTGAGTCCAAATACGCGTGGAGAATGTCAGGCACCACGTGGTGTAATTTTAGCTGGTAAGATGATTGGCTGACATCCCCAACCACAATTCCGCAGACCAAGTTTTTCTCTCTTCTTTCTTCTTTCATTTTCTTGTCATCTTGAGATGTTGCGCCCAGCGCCCCCACATCATCCGATTTAAAAGTTTTTATGGAATTTATGAAAAACTTCTTCCGTCTGCGCCATCGGTTGTAAAAAAAAAAAAAAAACCATTACCCTGTCGGCAATGCACTGTGAGACAAATTCGGCCTCTTATTATTCTGACACAAATTGAAATAGTCCCTGGTAGAGTAGCATTTTGGACCATGGTTCATGTAACTGATTCAACAAATATCGCGTAGCCATGACAGTACATTCTTAATTTACAAATTTCCGTTCCCTGAACATCATCAAGAAAAAGCATCTTGTTGGGAATTGAATAAAACTCACCGAGAACCAGAACCAAATCCCAATCCCAATCCCGGGCTCAGGCTATTTTTCCTTTCTTCTCTGCTCCAGGAGCACTCGCAAACCCCTCGCCCTCCTTCACTTCCGGCACGGCACCAGGCAGCTTATGTGACTCCTCCTCCTCCTCCTCCTCCTTGCTCATCATCATCGTCTTGTTATACCCCAGCTCCAGCGCGCTCTTCGCACCCACTTCACTCCACTGGCTCGACGGCGGCTCATACGGCTTCTGCGCACTATGCGCATCAGGATCAATCCTATATATCTTCGGATCGGACGGCGGAGTAAAGTCCACGTCTTTGGCGTATGAATCCGAGTTGTGGCCCTCCTCCGTCCGCGCAACGCGGGTAGTATGGATGGCAGCGGCGAGACGGGGGGAGAACTGGGAACAGAACCGGACGGCAGACCTGCGTGCTAACAGCATGACTGGTGACTGGTGACTGGTTGGTCGTGGTCTGTGGGAGAGTTTTGATTTTGGGGGGGAGGAAACACAAGTGTGAGAAAACGAGTATTTAATGCCGCTTTGCCCCACATAACGTCATAGGTCCAAGTTCACAGGGACTCGGAAGATCCCGAGCCGTACGTACGTAGTGGACCATGACTCTGACCATTCCTTTGCCGTACCGACTATTTTTCCTGTACATCGAGCCTATCTCTGCTATTTCAGGGTGCATTGCCGCCCTAAATCCTTCTTTCTACTTGGGTGAGCTGACTCTCGCCAGCTCATTCAAGCCCGACGCGGTCAGGAACACCCAAACCGATATAGCCCTGTACCAACTCGCCAACTTGTACCTATTATTCGCTCTAAACGAGCACCTCGTACTATCCTCCACATCTTCTCTGAAGACATGGCGCATCCTTCTCCTCTGTCTGCTCATTGCAGACTTGGGCCATCTAGCAACGATGGCGCCTCTGGGACGAGATGCATTTTGGAAAGTGTGGGAGTGGAACGCGATGCTTTGGGGAAGCATTGGATTCGTCTATCTCGGCGCCAGCATGAGGCTGTCTTTCCTTCTTGGTCTGGGTTTTGGCGGAGGAACTAAGAGTTGGTTCTTTTCTTCAGCTCCTTCAGCTGCTTAAGCCCATTCTCATGAATATATTAGATTCAGATCCTCGCCATCAAAAAAAGCTTTGAAAGGGCTTTATCATATCGTTATCTATCGCAACATTGTAAAGTTGACAATTAGCGTATTTACTGAATGGAAGCGCCGAATGAAAGGGAATGCTGTTGTACTAGCAACGACTCTAGTTAGCGCAGTTGCTATTCAGTACAGTTTTACCTGTCGGTTTCTCATGTCAGACATGCCTGAAGGAATGTCGTAAGGAAACTAACTAGTTGGAAAATAACATACAGACTAATATTCACACGTTCTGATGCTAGTTATGAGAGGCTATGCTGAATCTGTTCGGCCCAGACTGTGTTCGGTACCGTAGAACACAAGTATAGTACGGACTCTGGGTTCGCTTCCTTCCCAGGAACCAACAACCGGAATAAACGTCCTCCCTCCCTACCTCCCTCCCTCGAACAATAAGAATGAATGACTGAAATTTGAAGTAGAGTAGGCTGTGCGCATAGATATCAAGATGACAAGAAAGCCTGGGCATAAATTCTCAGTCCACCCATCTCCTCCTCCACACCCTTTCCCGCATGGCCAACAGAGCGTAGTGCAAGTTCGGGTCCCATTCATAATCGTTGACGTTGACACCCGGGGGAACCGCCATGTGAAACTGAGGAGGATTTGCATGATGGTATGGCTGTTGCGTTTGCTGAAGGTTCGGCGACTTGGGCAAATCGACTTTGATATCCGCCTCGTCGATATCAGGATGATCTCCGTGGTACTCGGCCGTAGCTCGTTCCGCAGCTGCTCTAACCTTTAGAGGAGGTCAGTAAAGGTCATGGCGAAAGGCACAGTGTAAAAAGTACAGACCTCATCGTAATGCCGTAGCTCCACTGTGTCCCACAAGGGGCACTTCTTTGACTTTGAAGTTGTCGATGCTCCAGGTGCTTGTGGCTAAAGAGGACCATCTACTTCAGAACGAACAGTATCGAATCATCGAACTCACGTTAAAATGATCGTAACCGGTGATAACCTGTCGACAAACGTAGCACGATAAGGTCTGGCAATTTGGGCACATCATCTTGTTGCACTGTCGAAGGTCAGCCAGCTGATCTTGCTTCATAGATGGAGATAAAGGACTTACTCCAGCCTCTTTGATGAACGCTGGGAAGCAGAATCAGATGCTGCAAAGGGGGATGAAAACGAAATACCTTTCTGACACTTTGGACAATTCCTCATGAGCGCTTTGGCTACGTTTAAAAGACATCAGAGTCAAGGATGTTTCTAGTTGGAGAGCATTACTCATTGCTTCCTCGATCGTATGCCGGCCATCTAGATGTCGATCCTCTTCCATCTCTAGAGCGTGGAATTAATTTGTTGAGACATTAAAAGGGGGCCGATACGTGCCTTTACAACTTTTTGGTAAATGGTCCTATAGCATAAGGTCAGCGTCCAGATCCGACAAACAGAAAGAAACGGCACATACCACTTTCTTGCATGATCTGCATGTGATGGCGCCGCACGTCTCCTCATTCCCACAACGGAATAACCTCTCGTCTGGGTTTTCGATGACACACTTAAATTCGCAGAATGGGCATTCCTCCAGCCCGTCCAGACCAGCCGCTTCGATTTCTTTGCGCTGCTTGACTCTCTCGTACAGCTCCATTAGTTTAGGAGACAAGAATCTACGCAGCTCGCTCTCTGGAAAGGGACGCTTGCAACCAGACTGGTCCATACATAAAATATTGACATCATATGCTCCGAGCTGAGTAGAGGTGTATGCCGTAAGGCAATCCGAGCAAAAAAGATGTGCCTCAGGACACTGCACCATCTTATTCTGCAATTTCGGCATATACGAAGTCAGGTAAAGCATTCATAAGAAGGGAGATGCATACGAAAGGGTATTCCGAGAAGCAGCAGCCACACTCAAAGCCTTCGCCCTCCGGTGCCTCTTCCTCTGGGAAAACGGTCTTCCCCTCCTCATCGTGCCCGTCCAGCCAAGCCTTCTCGCGCTCAAACTCCGCATCCACTTCGGCGCGCTCTTTGCCTTTTCCACGGCGGGTCAGTGTCTTCTTCGGGATGTAATCCAGCTTTGCTCCGCGCTTTTTCTCGCGAACGATGTGAAGGTATGTCGGCGCGTAGAAGCTTCCTTTTTCCCTGAAGAGCTTCCTGAGAAAAGGTTTGGGCATGCTGGGAAAATCCAGTGTCAGTTGCTCCTATACATGCATACGCAGTTAAGAATGAAAATGTCTTGGAAACAGGAGAGGACGTACGATAGCGAGGTCGGCATAGTCAGGTCCCCCGGCGAAGGGCCTTTCAGTACTAGCGTAGTCCACCTCGCCGCCTCCTCGCACCTTCTTTGATACGCTGCCATCTGCACCGCTGCCACTGGCCGCCCTGCGCCTCTTCTCCGCCTTTGGGTAGCCAGCATCCTCGAACAGGAAGTGTAGGACTGTCTCAACGACCTTGTCTCCAAAAGTAGGCAAGGTCCCTGCGATCAATTCCTGGGCGTAGTTTGGTTCGACATCGGGGACAATCTCGAGTACTTGTGCGAGGGCGTCGGCGGCAGCAGCAGCAGAGGTTGAGGCACCAGTATTCACAATCAATGGGTCTTCGTCATCTGTAATATTAATGACACTGGTGCTTGTGGAAGGTCCTGCTGCACTGTGTGCCGCCGAAGGTATCTCTTGGACTGCCCAGGGATCCGAGTCAGAATTAGTGATGTCGATGATATCCACAGGAGTCCTGGCCCTGCCTTTCCCCCTACCTTTCACAAGCCTTCTCCCTCTGCGCTTTACCGCAGGAAAGTCAGGGGGCTCTGGAGAGGAAGATATCTCGATGACGCCCATTCCAGGCGGTCAGTGCCGTCGGACGTCAATTAGAACGTTGCTGTTCTCACGGTCACTATCGCGGCACCTCACTATCGCGGCACCTATCACGAGGTCGTCACGGCGCGTCTGTGACAGAAATCTTTTTCAAGTTGTTTTACATAAAGTTAAGTTATATAACGGTCTCCACAGATCTTTGGCTCTTAAATTTATTTGCGAGCTCTATATCTTTGAAATGGTTTCACACTAATGATTTTCTGCAAGCCGAAGCTTGAATGCCTTCGCCCCTCTAATCCGAGTCGACATCTTCATTATCGGACAATGTTCGATGAGCCTCCATTATATGTCCCTGATGACATAACCACGCATGAATATCGCCTTGTGTAATAGCTTACTTTGTGCAGAAGTTTTTCTTGCTTATAACAGCTCATATTCAATTATTGACTTTATGATCCTATGGTGACCCGGTCCATCTGAAAATACATACTAGGGTACCATTCTTTATTACATCATGAGTCATGGCTAATTTGTTACATAGCAGTGTTTTGTAGCGGCATAGAGTACTTAAGTCCTCTTTCGCAGTTGCGCACTTCCCTTTGTGCCCGCATACGCACTCGTATAAGACTAGATCCCAGTTTTCCCTTTTGCAGGTCTTACGACTATCGCAGACGTTGATGAAGTTGGAACGGAAGTAGCACTGGAGCTTCATGCGGTATCCACCGGTCCTTGACGTATCTGGGTTCTTTTATCGAGCTCCATCACCACAGGAACCTGGATCTCGGACTAAAGAGCAATATGACCCACATCGTTGATTAGTGCTTGACGTTATCTCCGTCATGTTGCCTGTAATCTTCCTTATACATAAGCTAACCTCAACAGCACGACTGTTCGGTCCGTTCTTTCACCCCCATCTACCTGCATGTCTACCACCATGCAATACGGTGAGTTCCTTTCTTGAATCTATAATCTATGATCCTCACGCCAGCAGTCCGTCTGGGGAACTCGGGCTTGAAAGTCTCCAGGATCATCCTGGGTTGTATGTCCTATGGGAGCACGCAATGGCAACCATGGGTCCTGACGAAGGAGCAAGGGATCGAGCATATCAAGGCTGCGTATGTGTGCCTTTACACTCTTGCTTCCCTTCCAGTCCTCAGCTTGCCTTTATCATAGATACGACGCAGGCATCAACACATTCGACACGGCCGATGTAGATAGAACTTTACTTCCTTTCCTTCAGTCGGCTTATCACTCTTCTTCCATAGACGTACTCCAATGGTCTATCTGAGATTATTCTTGGCGAAGCGATCAAGACCCACAACATTCCCCGAGAGAACATTGTGGTATTAACCAAGGTGGGGCACCCCCTCCTTCAACTCCGAGGATAGGCACTAATTTTATTTACTCACAGGTATATGGTGTCGTTGGAGACAGTCCAGATGTCAGTCTCTTCGGTGATCCTAGGGCTGATTCAGAGGGATACGTTAATCGACATGGACTGAGTCGCAAGGTGGGATAGTCAAAGTGTAAGATGCGGACCGACTGATGAATCGTTGGCTCAGCACATTTTTGACGCGGTGAAAGGAAGCTTGAAACGTCTTCAGGTCGATTACATCGATGTGTTACAATGTACGCTACCACGCCTCGAAGGTAAAAACTGATTTAAGATATCACAGGTCATCGATTCGACTACCAGACACCCATCGCCGAGACGGTCCGTGTCCCTCCATTCGTCGCATAGGCCGGGTTGACAAGAGTGTAGATGCAAGCTCTCCATGATGTTGTCAAGGCCGGTTATGTTCGTTATATCGGGATGTCTTCTTGCCATGCATACCAATGTGGGTTCAATGAGGTGTCTCGATTCGATATCTGAAGCAAAATCTAGTTCACGCGATGCAAAGTGAGATCACGGCACCTAAAGCGGATACGCGAAACTCAATACGATAACTAGACTATGCTATCCACCAAAACCTCACGCCATTCATCTCCATGCAAAATCACTACAACCTTCTCTATCGTGAAGAAGAGAGGGAGATGTTTCCAACACTCAAGGTATGCTCCCACCTGTTGATAGGTGGTGGTTCTTTGCTGACGACGATGCAAGATGTTTGGCGTAGGCTCGATGCCGTGGTCACCCCTCGCGAGGGGAAAACTGACGAGACCAATGTCTGAACAGAAAGCTACCCGGCGTGGAGAGGTGGATAAGTGAGTTATATCTATCCCACGCGTTCTTATGCTGATGAGATCATAGAGTCTTGAGCAGATACGCCGGATCTGAGTCGATGGATGCAATCGTCGCCAGGCGCGTACTTTAAACAGCTGACGCGGTCCATATTTTAACTACTGATGATGACTTCTTGCTAGGGTTGAGGCTCTCGCCAAAAAGAAGAACATCACGATGGCGCAGCTTTCAATTGCTTGGTTACTCAGCAAAGAGGGTGAGAGTTTGTCATAGTGGTGCTTACGAAACCTGACCTGAGGTTACCGCGAAGGTGTGACGGCACCGGTCGTAGGCACAACATCTGTAGAGAATCTGACACAGTTGATCGGTACGCTGCTAGCTCCTCTGAAAGTTGAATTGTTTACTAAGTCAGTCGCCGTTTAGCTGCGGTACACATCATACTTACTGAAGAGGAGAAGAAATTTTTAGAAGAGCCATATCGGCCTTTACCCGTTGTTGGTCACTCGTGAAAATCCACTTGTGAACTGGTGTACCTACTGTGCACGGGACTGAAATAGACAGGACAATAACATGGGGTATCACTAACTGTCAACTCAGCTCAACCGTTGTCTTCCGCCAACCAGAAAGAGGTGACACCTTGCCGCAGGCCCTATTCAGATGAGTTCGATCAATTGCGCTGCTTAGTATTCACGGGCCTCTGTGGGATCGGTGTTTTCTACTTGACAAGGACTTCTCCCCCCAACAAGTCACGGAAAGAATCGGCATTATCGCTTATGAACCCGGTTCTTCCCGCCGTCCCATCTGTGCGGTGCCAAATTTTTGAAAGCTTCTGACGCCTTTGAAAGTTTTCTTGGGAAAAAAAAGAGGTCATTTCTGATAATAACTGAAATTGGGAACTTACACTGAAGATACATGATCGACATCGACAATCAATATGCAAGCGGAGCTGGCGGTCCGCGCAGCGCGGTCAATAGCGATTTCCAATTTTCCGATCTCGTGGGCTTTCTCTCCAACTATTATCCGCGTGCTGACTGAGGTTGCCGCTGATACGATGTCTTCCTCTTTTTCGAGTCATAAGTCCCATCTACCCTTGCCCCTACATTCTTCCCTTATCCACGTAGCATTACGATGTCGGGGCTGTCGACTGCTTCACTAACTGTCGAGAACGAGACCTCTTCCGTCCCAATTATCACCGAAAAGAAAGCGGACAATGCTCAGACCCCGGATCTCCAGTTCGAGGTGCGCCTCGACGAAACGGACAACCCGCAGTCCATGTCGACCTTCAGGAAATGGGTCATTATCGTCATCATCAGCTGCGCATCTCTCTGTGTGACGTGCGCGTCCTCCGTTGCATCCTTCGCAGAACAAGGAGTTGCGAAGGATTTTCATGTCTCGCATACTGTAACCATACTCTCAATCAGTTTATTCGTTGAAGGGCTTGGTCTAGGTCCTCTACTTGTGGGGCCCTTATCGGAAGTCTACGGCCGCTCGATCGTTTACCGTGTCTCTTACGCTTTTTTCTTTGTGTTTTCATGGCCCATAGCGTTCGCACCCAATATTGGTATGTCTTGTTTCTCTTCGTAAGCACGCTGAATTAAATTTTATAATGCAACGCAGAGGTCTACTTGATATTCCGATTCGTCACTGGGTTTTGTGGTTCCGCCTTTTTGAGCGTCGCTGGAGGCAGCGTGAGTGACTTGTTCGATAATGCTACCGTTGCAAAGTGAGATCTTCTTGATAGTGGTCGTTTTATTTTCGGCTAACTGGGTGTTAGTCCAATGGCATTCTACACGATTTCACCATTCGTTGGTCCAGTATTTGGACCTCTGATCAGCGGGTTTATCAATCAAGTCGGCTTTTTCTACCTTCCATCTTCTGAAGCTGATATTTCGTGAAGAACACTCACTGGCGATGGACCTTTCGTGTTCTGCTAATTTGGATTTTTGTCCAATGTGTTGCACTGTTCTTGGTGCGTCTGTCTCGATCTATTTTTTTTTTGGCCATCTGACCACTTAACAGCTGGTGCCCGAAACATACGTTCCGGTCATCCTCAAGAAAAAAGCTGCACGGTGCGTGGAATCCTTTTTCTTGGCTGACATATCCATTGAATTGGGCGTAAGACTACGGAAATCTACAGGAAACCAGCAATTGTGGGCACCGCTAGACAAACGAAACACAAACCTCACTCGGGCTATCATCATGAGTTGTTACACCCCCTTCCGTACGGCATTTTCAGCTTTCTCTGGCTTAGTCTAATGATGGTCTACAGAGTTGATTTGGTATGACCGAATGGCCCTTCTTCTTAACACATGGTATGCTTTTTTGAAATTGGAAAGATACCTTCTTATCAACATGTTCGCAGGACCTCCCTCATCCTCGGAATCCTCTACCTCAGTTTCCAAGCCTTTCCCATTATCTTCGAGGAACATCACGGGTTCAGCATGCAACAAACCGGGATGACATACCTTGGCATTGGTTTGGGTATGATCAGCGCGATGCTCACGCAGCCGTATTGGAACCGGTAAGCAAATTCATCCTTGTAAATGCGCATGCCTTATGACTTCATTCCATTATATTCAGAGTCGTCACCCGCGCTGCAGAAAAGAATAATGGGAAGACCCCTCCGGAAGCTCGGTTGTATATGGGCCAAGTGGGCGGTATTCTCGTTCCAGTCGGACTGTACTGGCTTGCCTTCACAACATATTCATCGGTGCACTGGATTGTTCCTATCATCGCATCCATACCGTTTGGAGCTGGGATATATTTCGTCTTCACCGCCGTTTTCACATACTTGGTGACGGCATATAGGCCCATCGCCGCGAGTGCGATGGCGAGCAATAGTGCGATGCGGTCGACTTTTGCGGCTGCATTCCCGCTATTTGCTGGGGCGATGTACCACAAACTCGGTACGGTGGGTGCCACAGCGCTGTTAGCCGGCATCATGACACTCTGTGTACCGCTACCGTGAGCTGTCTTCTTGTCGGTGTTCAACGGTAGTCTCACGTTCCAGCAGATTCGTATTTTTGAAAATTGGGGCCAGATTAAGGGCGACATCGAGGTTTGCGAGCAAGGACTGATGTCTAGCTTATCTTCTTGTTGAGCGTCAAGTAGACCACCAGGTCCAGGTTAAGCGGCGAGATGCAGAGGTTGCAAATTAGAGATATTCTAGCGCATATCATTGACATAATTCATTTATAACGAGGCACTAGAGCTAACCTTGGTTTATTCTGGTGGCGGCGCTGTCTAGTACCTTAGTCTAGTTAGCTTGCAGGAATTAGCAATTACATTGCCCCTGACATAGTCCTACTTCGTCTGCACCAGAACCGGGCTCTTCCGTGCGTTAATCCCTGTAGTGGAAACGTTCATTCATAGTGGAGCGGATAAATTATCGGTCCTTGATCGCAGCCAGACGAAAAGTGTTTCCAGTTTGAGTTCCGCTGTTGCTGGGAGCTACCTAGTTTCAGTTTTGCTTGCAGCAAGTTACAGCTTACAAGTGTAAGTAAGTAGTTGGTGTTGGGTACAGAACAGGGTGAGGGTCAACAAGCGGTGGCCCTCGATCCGTGGATAGTATACTGGGTCTCAATGACTGGTACAGGTTCCTGCCCATGGGAGGTTGTTGTTTGAATTTTGGTTCGTCCTCTTGGGTATGATCGACTTCTTGCTGATAGTTGATTGAATTGCGCTACTAGTAGGTTTTTGTCCGAGAGGTAGCCGACAGCGACCGTAGCGTATCGGCTGTATATGTGGACGTAATTCGGGTTCGAATCCCTTCGTATGAAATGATAAAGCAGTCTAGGTGTTTTTTTTTTGTTGAAGGGATTGAAGGTTGGAGGTGTGGCTGCCAAACTGGGGAATGAATCGACCTTGGCTTGATACGCTGCGTTGTTCTCGTTAGTAGCAACTTGGAATAGCGTATAGGATGTCTACTGGTAGTGTTCTGTGGGGTACAGACCTGGCTGATAGACACAAGAGAGATTGCTGGGGTCATCGAGGTGAGATGTTACACTGTGGGAAGATTGGCATTCAGTAGTTATAGCATTCGGTTCTTCTTCTGCCTTTCCATGTACTGATCTCTTTCTGCAGACAGGGGTGCAGTGTCTTCCTTACTGTCTTGTGTTGTCATGCAGTCAATGTCATTCTTTTTGTCCTTCTTTTCTGGGGCCCGGGCGACGGTTACAACATCAGCTTCAGGCAAAATGTCGTTATCTTCTTCGGTAGTCAATAAAACCTGTGCAACCTCCAACCTCCACCGCAGCTGTCATCGTCGACTGCTGAACATTCTTCTTCTGGAGTGCCGATTTTATCCGGGATGGGGGACACAGAATTGGCAGTACTGGAAGGCATGAGTCCTGAGGTAGGCAGTGGAACAGATGGATGGGTCTCCAAGGGGGGGAGGGGGACATTATATGACATCTGGAGGGTAGGGTGCTTGTACTGGTACATCATTGTCAATGCCAGAGCAGTTTGTATGCTGAATGATACCATGACTTGAATGGCTGCTGCTTGGGCCAAGGCAAACTTTTCAAGGGCTAAGTGCATGTTGTCCATGGAGAAAGACTCGGCCTCTGACTGCGGGGATTGATGGACAGAAGTCACCGGCTTTTCATTTTGGCTGTAACGAAACGACAGCGAGTTGGGGCATCATAGCCAGTGTTGGAAATCCTTGGTGATGCGCAGGGTAGACTCCAGGCTGGTAAGGCCAGAAGGTATGAACTTATTATTCTACAGCTCCTACAGAGCTTGTATTTATACTCTCCAGACTTATATCTAGAATCTACTACAACTTTCTCTTTCTCTCGGGCTTACTCATCAACTCTCGGCATGATGCCGGATTGTCCTTTCTAGAACTTTCCAGCAAAATCCCAACAGCCAGAATCGGAGTCTGTGTCATAGGCTAGAGAATGAAGTGCCCATCGACCAGCTTCTAGGACGGTTATGATGGTGGGCGGTGCATTGTGGTCCCAGGTGACATCTACGCAGATGCGATTTTCGATATGCTCCCTGGTGTGTCAGTCAAATCCCTTTCAGAGTCCATGTCATTCTTCATGGTCCGAAATGATGCCTTTCTCTCGCAAGGCTTTCACAATGGGTATGAACTGGCAGTAGTAGCACTCGGGATCGTCTTGGCTTGTTGTTCCTGGTCACCTCCATTGTCTCGTCAGGTTCTGTGAAGACTTGTGCTTTCAGGATGCAAAGTAGAAGCCATCAGTAAGGTCCTTCTTGAACACTGCTCAATTACAGTCGCTAATATCTTCATCATATCCATCTGATGTCCTCCACAGGTGCTTAGCTTCGGAATCTGCATAGCGTATGATGGCGTGGACACGTTTTTCGTCTGTTAGATTGTGAAACGCAGCTAAAATTTAGGACTTGGTGAAGAAGTCATCGAGCTCATCCGGTTTAAGGGAGAACCGGGGAGTATCCTCTGCTTGAGTTGCGAGCAATGGGCATAGAATAAAAGCCAGAAGACATAGTGGCAGGATAAACAGAAGTGGTGAGGGCAGCAAGGATAACCGGTTCGAAATGGACTCAAGGAGTGGGGTGAGTCCTCTAGAGTGTCAGGTCGCTGAAACAGTCCAGCATGGGTGGCATGCAGAAGGCAATCTGGATCGCCTAGCGCCTGTAGAGGGCCCTAGCCGTCGAGTCAGGGTCTGACAGGCAGATGGTTGTTCAGATCGCGGTGGGCTCCAGATGTAGGTAGGTAGACAGCATTGGGTGCAGAACAGAGGTGAGATTACGAGCGGAGGGTAAGTAAGGTGATTGTCTGATGCCCCTGCGTAGTAGACTGTGGCTACTTATATACTACTATATAGGTGGCATATAATAGTAAGGTACAAGACAATAGGAACAATATGAAAGACAAGACCATATTGCTAAGTGGCACAAAATCCCCTACACAAGTTACATGAAAGCTGCGACACTCCCTCGGAGCTTAGCATGGTACTGACGTTGGTCTCCGTTTAGGTTCTCGTACGGATCCACTTATGTACCTTTGCGTGTTCGTTTATTTCCAAGGAGATTTCGTAGTAAATAACTCGCTAGCCTCCATGTGATATATCGTATTTGTAACCCTCTTTTGGCTACTCACTTTGTTCCAGTCCAGCTTCGTGCTTCTACTGGTCAAAAATACTTGAATGGGATTTTCGATTTTTAAAAAAATTGTATCTGCAAGTTACATAACTATTCTCGCCCTGTGAACTCATAACAAGCATCAACGGTAAATGATTGGCTCGCTTGTGTTTGGGTTCTGTCACAAAACATGTAATATTACTATAGTCTGGGCATCTGGCACCCACTTCAAAATATACAGACCAAGTCTAGCAACAAAATGGTACTGCAAGTAGTCCTATGACTTCTGCATACTTTTACCACTCTTACTGTTGGAAATCCTCGGTGATGCACAGGGTAGACTCCAGGCTGGTAAGGCCAGAAGGTATGAACTCCTTATTCTACAGCTCCTACAGAGCTTGTATTTATACTCTCCAGACTTATATCTAGAATTTACTACAACTTTCTCTTTCTCTCGAGCTTACTCATCAACTCTCGGCATGATGCCGGATTGCCCTTTCTAGAACTTTCCAGCAAAACCCCAACACTTGCCATAGCAAAATGTGAAACCCACGCCCTCTCAGACTATTCACTCGCTCTATGGTTGACCTTTCCAACTCAAGGCCTTTGCGACGACCCAGCACAATCCTTCCTAGGACGCCCCCGTACGCAACTGTTTTCACAACACGCGATTCGATCATGTCGATGATACATCCTTCAGATGCATCATAACTCCACACCAACTCCACGTGCTCGAGCTTTGGCAGCACACTGCACTCCATAAGATATCGACTAAATGCATCCGTGATGCAATGCGTGTAAGAAGCCGGTTCATGAATGACCAACGATACCAAAGTCGGGGTAGCTCTGAGAATGTTCATCATGGACTCGCGCGGGATAGGCACCTGCTTCAGTACGAGGTGCTGAAGCTCACACTGTGAACGTTGAAGTAGAAGTATCAGGGAATTGATTGGGAATGGTCGTGCATTTTCCGCATCAGGGATCGAAATATTGAGAGATGTCAGGGAGGGAAACCTGAAGCCCTCGAGAAAGGAAGAAACAAGGCGCGGAAGCGATTGTAACGTCAGCATCGAGGCGCGAAGGGTCGTCGTGGACCCAAAGCAGGTTTCAAATTCGCATTCTGGAGAGACAATGAGATGGTCGAGCGTCTTTGAGTCTCGTAAATCCTCGTACAGATCGCAGTCAAAGAAATCTCGCAGAACCACGGTCTTGAGCTGCCCCCAAGGGACAGCGCACTGTCTTGGGCTGATACCAGCAGGGCTATGAGACACCGACTTGGGCGTGCGCCGAAAGCCTTGAAAGCGCTTCTTGTTACCTCAAAAGGCTTCCTCCACGACATCCACGGAGAGATTCTCCAATAGAGGGAGCCTACCGGCCACACCCTTAAAATACGTCAGACTCGAAGGTGTGACCCTGATATCCGCGCTACGTCACCTCCGAGAGTGCTCTGCAAGCATCTCCACTGTGCACTCGAACTCAAGGTCGCCGTCGCATCCTAACAAGTCCACTTTCACATCGAGCGGTTCGTGTTTTGATAGATGCAGGAACCACCAGACGGTCTCAAAGGACCGCCAAGGTGTCCACATCTCACTCTGCTTGACATGTAGAACGTCGACACAAATGCTCGTCCAGAGCAATGGCAAAGAGTGTGCGATATCTCGCCAGTGGTGGCAAACTAAGCTGATACGCAGGACCGTTAACCATCGATGAAGGTCCGTGCACGCTTCTGCGAAGATTTTGATCCAGACTTCAGTAGGAAGGTCAGGAGTCGAATAACACACTGATGCGCTTGGGATAACAATAGGTGGCGAGAATTCATAAGGTCTACATGACAAGATAACGGATGGTTCTTCGTCAAGAGACGGAATTGGCTGCCACACGGATCCGGTATCGTCGAAGGCGAAGCTTGTTGGTATTTGACCTTGAGCGAGTAGAGCATTGAGGGTTTGGAGAGGGCGACCTTGAGGGAGTACTGTGATCGGTAAATGTTGGGAATACGAGGTGAAGGACTCTTTGCATGACGCGCAGCGCGACGAGAGGCTATGACACATTCTAAGGTGAAGGACTCAGTATAGGGTTTACGGAGGAGAGACATTAACATACTTGGACTAGCTATGGTTTGGAGGGGGGAAGCTAAAGTTTGAGAAAAGGTTATGAGATGTTCAATGTGCATGCGGTCCTGTGGAAGGTCGAAAGACAACCGAGCATTAATAAGGTGCCATCAACGTCACGGGTCACCTGCGCCACTCCCGCAGGCTTCAAAAGATGAGGATGAACATGTGTGGAACCTTGGAGGGTAAAGTGTGTATTAATATTCCTAATATCGTTCCAAATGAAAAATGTGCGATGGAGAATAATTTTAGCCCAAGAGAAATCTAAATGGAGCGCATCTACTGCTTGAAAGCATTCCAAGCCTCATTGAGGGTGCCAAACACTCCATTGGCAATCATCCTCTGCTCCAAAGTCGAGTTATTCGGATTGAGCTACAAGGAAATGTTCATCAACGACAGGGTGGCATTACAATTAACGCGGCTCAAACCTTATCAGGATGCAATTTCGCAATGGCCTTCGTATACCTGATCTTGACCTGCGCAGGCGTGACTAGTTCTGCAATACTGGTCTTCTGCAGACCAAGCTCAGGCCAAAGCACCGAATCCAAACTCGAAATCAATGCACGGATGTTCGTCTCCTTGCCCCCCTTCCACGCCAACAATTTACTGTCAACCACGTCCTTCAACTCATACTTGGCGTTGTCCTCAGCCTCTGACGCATCATTGGCTTTCTTCAAATTCGAGAGCGCCTGCGAAGGCGGGGTAGGCCCACGTCTAGGAGGAGGTCGGGCAGTGGCAGGTCTGGGTTTAGCGGCTCTCGGTGGGGGCACTCCAGATGTCTCTTGCCTCTCAGCAGCGACCATCTTTCGACACCGTCCGGCCCCTCGTACACCTTCCCCTCTCATGTTAGACGCGGCCCAGTTGGCCCCGGCGACCTTCTCCCAGTCCTTGCGAGCATCGTCCCATTTTTCTCGCCCTTCTAACGCCTCGGCTCGTCGTCTCCATGCTTTCACTAGGCCATCACCAAGGTCCACGCCGGCGCCCTCTTCAGAGGTCTTCACTCGTACTTGCTCGTCTCGCCAGGTGTTCTCACCTACCAACTCCATGACGATGCCGGCGTCTCCAGCAGCGCCGTTGTAGTCGCCTGTTTTTAGGCGAACCAAAGCTCGGTTGTTGTGTAATAGCACCAGGAGCAGGTGACCGGATGGTAGGCATTCTATAGCTCTCGTGTAAGCAGATTCGGCTTCACCATATTGACCAAGTTTGAATTTCTCAGCTCCGAGGTTTTTATGAGACTGGGAAGTGGAGATTGAGGAAGGGGATGCGACTATGAGGGGTTTCAGGGGCGGGGACGGTGTCGGTACACGTGCAGGCTGGGCATTTTGAATCGGAGGAGCAGCCTTGGGTTTACCTCGTCGGAAGGGGGACACATATGCGACTGGTGCTTCGTCCGTTGAAAAGAGATCAACAGCATTTAGTTGAGGTCTAGGCTGTGAGACTGATGATTGGCTCGATACTGGCGATGGACTCTTCGTTTTCCGATTGCTGCTCTCATCCGGAAAACGGCTTGCACTGCCATTCTGCGATGGCCTATCATCATCGACCTTCATCCCATCGTCACTTTGCATCCATTTAGGCCGACCATGGGTATTGCTTGTCCGATTACCTGAGCGACTGTCACCCGCGTTATCCGCCCCAATTCGCTCGGCGTAAGCTTTCTGTACTCGTTCCCGACCTTCTTTCCAAGCGGCATTTGCTTTACTGAGGAAACTCAAACCCAACTCGCTTGCTTGAGCCAAAAGCTTGTCTGCCTGTTCTTGAATATTGCTTTCTGCGTGAGATGCTGATGGGGAAGATGCAGATCGCTCGCGCTCTCTATGTCGCGTACTGGATTGGTTTGGATTGTTACTACTGTCTCTTCCCGAGAGAGGTGGTCGTCGGGGAGGTACCGGAGGTGTTGGCCTTGAACTACTACCGGCGCCGTTGTTGAGAAGAGTTTCTAGAGCCGCTTCAACATCCAGCCCAGAATCTGTTGAAGCGAGAGCTATCCTGGCCTGTTGTATAGAAAACCCCATTTCTACAAGTTGCCCAAGAATATGGGGAGGAGGAGAGACGGTTCGTGTGACAGATGCACGAGAGGATTGCGGTGCGGGTACTGAGCTTTGGTTATTCTTAAGAGGCCATTAGCATTAGTAGCATAACGATGATATAGGACGTACCGATGGTGAAGGGCGCCGTGGGACGGCGTCAACGGGTCTCCCAAGTTCACCCAGGATGTCGTCATCGTGCACCTTGCCCTGCTCATGAAAATCCAACAATCCATCCTCGCGGTCTCCAAAATCAAAATCGTCGCTGGGAGAGTCTGTCATTCGTCTCAACGGTTCTTCATTCGAAAGCTCATCCAGATCCCACATATTCTGGGCACGCGTCGCTGGCTTTGGAGATGCTTTTTGCGACTGTCTCGCAGATGACCCAAAATCACCGAGTCCCCAATCATCGTCATCGACAGCAGTGACGGGCGCAGCAAGTTTTGAGGCGCCGGGAATCGGTGTGCCAAATCCCCAGTCATTATCGCTCAACGGCGACTGCGACGTCGACACCACGGCTGGAGAAGATCTCTGGCCCAAACTATCCAGTCCATCCCATGCCGAAGACGCTTGCACAGGAGGAGTCCATTGCGACTGTTGCAACTTTTCCATCCTCTCTCGTTCCGCTTTCGCAGCCCGCTCTGCTATCGTCATCTGTGAGGTAGGTTTGGAAGCCAGCGTTCCCGACAACAGACCGCTAAATGCATCTCCCGATGGAGATGAGCTCGCAGGAGGCTGTACTGAAGATGAGACGGTCCTGGAAGATGGTGTCATTGAGCGGGATCCAGGTGCTGACGAGCCTGCAGACGAAAGTAGAGAGAAGACATCAATTTGGGCTCGTCGTACGCCTTGGCTGGAGGTAGAGGAGTACGATCCTAACTTCTGAGGTGCAGGCTTCGTCGAGGGTACCGTCGAACTCCATAAATCTGCAAAGGAGTCCGACATGGTACGGATTAGCCGATAGCTTGGGGGGAAAAAGAATGAAGAACGATCGAGATAATGGTAGGCAGAAACGAAGATACACGATCGCCGTAGGGCATTGGGTCACATATCGGTCACATCACGAATAAATTTATCAGTACTATAATCTAAGATACGACTCGGCAATAATATGAATCACGAAGAAACCAGGTGGGAAAAACTACAGAGAAACGAGCTTGACTGCGACAGGGAGCGCCTCGACCGACTGTGTATCCAATTTAAGCCTTTTACTCTCGTCCTCAGTATTTCCTTCTGTCTCAGGCCGCTGACGCTTTGCAGGAATACCCTCCAACGATTTGGCAACGTTTTTGGTGACCACTGAGATGAAGGTTAGCATAGATGCAACAGAAAAAGTGCACAAGTACCTTCTCGCAGTGGCCGGAAATATGGCTGAGCTAACCAGTGCGGAAGAACACGTAATCCGGTAGATTCGTCAAGCTTGACCAGCGCACCTGAATCTTTACCTGATGCTTCTTTCGCGTTCGCCTGTACACACAAATCAGATTGAGGACCACGAAAAACGCGATGCACTGAACCTCCATCCGCTCCTTCAGCTCCAGGCAAACGTCGATGTAGGGCTGTAACCCGCCGTTCCGCCAATCTTGATCCTTTTTTACGAGTGTTCTCCCTAGCTTCTCCCTAAGATCTTTGTCGTGCGACAGACCGGGGCGTAGAATTTTAAACAGGTGTCCTTTAATGGCACTTATCGACGTGTGTGTCTTCAGTGACTGAACAATAGACAGATACTCCAGGGCTAAATCGACATGAAGAACATGCTGCTCCAGTAGTTTGTCATTCGTGAGCTCCTCTACTTCGATAGGAACGTTCGCAAAAAGAGCCGGATTGTAGAGTTGTCCTTCAGCACTCATAACTCCGTCGGCGCCTGTGGCCTTTAAACACTTTGCAATGTCGGAAGGATATAGTATATTCCCGTTAGCAAATACGGGAACGGAGACGGCGTCCTTGACCGCGCGAATTTTGTCCCAGTCCGCAAGACCCTGATGCGGAAATTAGCGACACGAAACGGAAATACATGAATACACAGACAGATAGGTGCCCTCGCTGTTCTCGTATTCGCCCATGGCATGTCAAAATCTGAGCACCGGCGCGCTCTAGCATTTTGGCGTACTCAACGGTTTTCTCCACCGTTGGAAACACTCTGAACTTGGCCGTCACAGGAATGGAAAGATTCGTGTGCAAGACATTGACTGAACGCCGCGTCATCAGCATCATTGAACGACAGAAACTTGATTAATGAAGACGAACTCAGTTTATAGATCAAGTCCCAATCATCCTGCAAAAACGCACCATACTTCCCCTTCTTCGCAATATCTTGTGGGCATCCCAGATTGATGTCGACGGCATCACAGTGAGCCTCTACTGCTTTGGCAGATATTAGGAGCTTCTCCGGATCGTTCGCACAGAATTGGACGATGAGAGGCCGGTCAGTCGTCGGATCTCCTTCTTCGCCAGATTCCATATCGAAATTCTTATTCCAAGTGCTCCTATGAGTATCATCGGCAAACATCTGTTCAAATATGAAAAGTGAATAATTTAAGTGATCGATTACCTACCTTCGCGTTAATCATTGGCGTATAGACAAGCTGTGGTGCTACTCTTTTAATAAAAAGGACGATTTAATAGTAGCATGAAGTACCTGAGCACCATACCGTCGAGATAATACTCTCCATGCGAGCTCACTTTGGTCCACCATCGGAGCAACGATGTACTTCGGACTGCCCAAAACGTTCCGATAGAACTCATATCCTCCAATTTTTCCAGTCGTCATTCTTGGCTGGAACAATAAGAGATACCGCGCATTTATTTTAGCCCGCAGGGCTCGAAAAAGCCGTACCAATGGAATGGTGATGGCGGTAGGGGGAATATGTATTTGCGCTTGTTTATTTTCTTACGCGTTAGATATCGGGAAATCCCGTAAGCGAGTTACACTTTCTGAGGATTCACATCCGCAAATCAAATCAAAAACGTCGAAGTGTCGCCACGCATTGTCTTGCTTTGAATGTCCCTTTTTTTTTGATCCATGGTTCCAAATTTTGTACGTGAAGAGCATTTTTCTGTAATCGGGGACTGGTTTAGCTTCGACGGCGGTCAAATTGGAGCTCTGTTTTACGCGTCATCTGGTTGTCTTGTCCGCGCAAAGACGCCCTCAACGGATAAGTCTTTTCTGAATTGTCCTCTGAAAGGCTGCGCCCATGTTTCGTTGCCAGGTACTCTAGGATCGTACTCGAAAGAAATGGACTCTGGAAGAAGCCTTTGTGGTGACTATCTATTAAGGGACTACCGCGTCAAATTGTCACGCTGTTCGAGCTTACAGTGTTTCTACCACAGGTGGCACAGTATCGATGGATACCGTTCGACCTCGTTCTGAATGTCGAAAGAACTGAAAGATTGGACACCGACACCTTGTGTAATCTCAATGGACGCGACGTTTCTCTCTTTGGCTTTGTCTAATGGCATTGTTCGAAGGGCTAACAAAGCCAACAAAGACTATGCACGACTAGATATAAAGATGGAAATGGCATCCCCAGGTTCTATAACGCCTTCTGCTAAGCTCTCCTCACTACCTGTCTCTAAAGTTCTCGTGCGTCTCCATCCCAATGTTCACCAATCCCCTCCACCCTACTATCCTTAATTCCAACCGGTCTGTATTCTCTGCTCTGGGACCTGCAATCATCGGGACATCTGACTCTTCCTTGCCTCGAAACTGGAAATGCCTGCCGCAAGTCCCAATCTCTCAGTGCGAGGCTCTCGTATGCCGTCATCCCCAATCCCCTATCATATTCGAGATGCGTGGCGTTAAGCAAAAGGGAATTTCAGTGCAAGACTTGATTACCAGAGGTCCCGCCGAAATACCGCGGATGCTTGTTGGAGGAAACGCTATATACCTCCGAGGTGGCATGAAACAGATGTATATCCGTTTTCAGGCATGCCATTCACCCTAGTATCTATGATATAGCCATGGCTGACGGTACAAGTATAGTGGCTCGGATATGAGCACCTCAATTTTTTTACCGAGATCAAGGTCGATCCCAGTCAGGGTATACCCCTCGCTGTTCTTGCTCAAGAATTGGGTAGAAAAATCAACAGCTTTTATTCTGTATGCCACTATTCATCGTTACCAAATACCCTCCTCTCTGAGTCACTCCTTTCAGGTGGCCCAGTACTCGTTTTGCTCCAATGAACAATGGCGCATGGGCGCTCGCAACATCCGTCTCGAACAGTTAATCCTCCTTTCGATGTGGAACACGCACGAGAACTGGTGGCAGGCAGAAATCGCCATAGCCTTTCCCGGTTACTGATATCAACTCTCAGCCATTGGACCTTTTCGCTTCTCGCATATTTTATTCTTCGGCATCTAGACACCATATACACCGGTGGCATACACTGTATCATTTGCATCTGTCCTCCCGGCATCATCATGTATCAAAAAAAGTACTTCTCTTAATTTCTAGCATATCTTCTAATAATACACTGGTCATCACTGGAATAGAACTGATTCTTGAAGAGTCGCTTTGGCGCGTCCGAATTATGAAATAGCCCCTATGCACGAAATGATGTCCCTTTAACACGTGCTACACCGCCATGACAACCGTTCACGACTCACGAACGCAAGTTGGCATTGCACCACGACCATCATGCCTGATGATGAGCTCTCTGAAATTGACGGAATTAAGCCAAACATCGTCATGACTGATGGCGAAGAAAAAAGAGGTGAAGTCACAGACAAGGTGAGTCTCCTGTTTTCTCATTAAACTCAGTAGTTAAAAAGATCATTGCTCTCTGCAGTGCATCCATCTATAAGATAAAGCGGACCTGGGATCATTACTATTGGTGAGGCGTTCACTCCAAACTTGTACGAAGCAAGCTAACTGGCGTTCATCAGAACGGAATGAAACACGTTGGGTGCCACTCCACGAGCAAGAGAGGAAGCGCCCTCTTCACGGACCATCTAACAGAATCTAATAAGTTGATCATGGACGAGAGATTACGAGCAGTTTTACCCTAAATAGTGCATGGATACTGTGCTCGTAGTTGAATCTCTGCGCCGACGGTTTCGCGAAATCTCCCTGTAGATGCACCATGATTACATGGGACATTCTTCAATGAACCTATCTTCGAGTCACTCTAGAACCGGGGAGACCTACGATCAACCTATGTTTCCACAACAACATTCTTTGCCATTTCACGGTGAGCTTTGCTGCTGTTCATAGACCCTTACTTCGTGCGTTCCGTGTGCTAAAACTATGTAGGGTACCGTCCTGGCGATCGTCTGCTCTCCCGCTGACATATTAAAGGTTTGTATTCTTGTCGATTCACGCAACCGGCCCTGATAGGTCACATTGTTAGAGTCGCATCATGAACGCATCAGGACCAGGATCAAATGTGAGCCTTTCGATCTTCTTGTTCTGGTTGATCTGATTTTCTGTGTTAGGTCTACTCTTGGTGTCATCAAGGCTTCCTTGAAGAACGAGGGTCCAGTGTTCATGTTCAAGGGCTGGTTGCCGGCTTGGACTTGTCTGCAACTGACGACGGTCCTCATCTTCTTAACATTGGAACAGTTGAAGGACGGGGTTAATTTCTCGAGAGGCAAGGGGTACACTTTCTTGTGAGGTTCGATAGAAGATGTGAAACGTGCTACTAATATTAGCGATGTATCCCAGAGTGGACATGAATCTTGTGAATCTTGATCAATCAAATGTCAAACTCAGATGTCTGGAGCGCACTTTACCACATGAAACTTTTGTCTCATAAGTAAATTAGGAAATAAAAGTCTCGGTCATGGTATTTATAAGGAGAGAGACCTCAAAGTCCCTGTCCTGAGCTTTGTCCATGACCACCATGAGTACCTCACAACCTACCCTACAACATGCAGTTTCGACAGCTAGATTACCGCTACAACTCATGGAACAAATAGTTGACGCTCTTTCCGATGATGTCGACGCTCTCACAGCTTGCGCATTGTCCTCTCGCCAACTCGCCTACCGCAGCCGCTATCAACTATTCCGCGCCGTACACTTCGATTTTATCCCATCTCTGTCATTCAATCACTGCGTAACTTTCTCGGAAAAGTGCCAAAATGCGGCGCCACTTGTAAGAAGCCTTACCTTGAGCGAAACTCCCTCCTGGTCCGTAGGCTTCTTCTCTACGTGGGTCACCTCTGAACCGCAGCTGCCTATCGTCCTTGGAATGATGAAGAACTTGATGTCTTTGCATCTTGTCGACGTGGAACTAGTCGGCATTAATATCATCTGGCCTGAAGTTGAGGAATTGGAAATGAAGCAGTGTTCTGTGACAAATCTTGGCACCTTTCTCGGCGGGTTCCACAAATTAAACAAACTAGCGCTATGCGACATAGACATTGTTGAAGAAACATCCTCATCGTCTGAGGTTTCTCTTGACCTTGAAGAATTGGTGATTACCCAAGCCACCAGCCGAACGAAGATGAATACCATCAAGTGCCTCCTCCCGCTCCTCCCCACGCCATCTCGTATTCGACGGCTTACCTACCCACTTTACTATCCGGAGCAGAAGATCCCACAATACGACGTGATTCCTCATACGCATCTGGATGAGTTATTTCTAATGGGAGCCAAGAATCCAAAGATACCCGTTCCGGATATCCAAAACGTTACCAAGCTTCGTTTGCTTGTGATGCCCCCCTGGCACGAGTATCCGGTGGATGCATGCAAAGAATGGGACGAGCTAACAGATTGGCTCATACACCTGCTACACAAAGCCCAAGGTGGATGCTTAAAGGAGCTCCAATTGGAGTATTACCTAGTTGGCATATCTGGGAGTCCGGACAAGTGGGCAGAGCTCAACAGAATTATATTGAAGATGGGATTGAGCAAGGTTGAGCTCGTGCTCAGCATGCCCCTGCAATGTTGGCTGACAGAAGAAGGAGAGGAATCCGATTGGCCGTTGTGGAAAGAGGAATTGATGACCAAATGTGTTACATGCTTTGAGCAAGTTAAAAGGCATGGGTTGTTGACAGTCTCCAGAGGATACCAAATTTAAGTTCATATGTTTGCTACTATCTAGACACCACTATTGTGTTTTGGACATTGAATCAGTATACAGGATACAAATAATACAACTTGTATTTTTCATTATGTGAATCAGAACATATATCAGTGATATGCTGAAAGGTTATGAATCACAGCTGCGGGTTTCTACCGCCTTTCATGATCTAGGATCGCAACAAGACTAAACCAGCAGCGAACAGTAGTCCTAGCCATCGTTGTATACGGTTCGACGAAAACACATCATCATTTGAAGGCGTCGAAGTTTGTGTTGCTGCAACCTGCGGAACTCCAAGTGAATTGATTGAAGCTGCGACGGGAAGGCCAGTGGGAGCTGATTCGGCTGTTCCTGTAAAACAAAATCAATCCTGCTGCCGCTGATGGGCAGTCAATGTCTGGATTATCGCACCACATAGATCACCGCCGGCAGAAGCCGCGTTTACAGCCTCGACAAGCTTGTCCGAAGCGTCGCTCGGTACCCGATCCGACAGGATGGCTGATGTTTGAAAATTTGAACGGCGTCAGGTCAGGATATTTTGACTCGCTCTTAAATTTTCTCTTAATTGTACTCAGAACTTTCTTCGATGGCAAGGACATGTACAGCCGTCCTGGGAATCCATTCACGCCTCCAAAGTGGTTCCTGGACAGTGCGTTGTTATGATTCGAGCCGCCTCGCGGCTATCTAAACGTATGTTTCAGAGTTTCCTGAGAATGTCACACTAGATGGAGCGGAGAACTGTTGGGAGGACGTGGGGAGTTTCAGTCTACGGTGTCAGTTGTCAAGACAATCAACTCTCCTCATTGGAAAGGAATTACCTTCCAGGTAGCATTTCATTGTCTCCGAAGTCTTAAGCGAGCTGTTCAGGCAATATGAAGGTCGTCGTTCTTCCACTCTTCTCAAGATCAAGGTATGGCTTTTTTCCCGTTTCACGGCAAGTACATTTGTCATTGAATTTGTAACCCTTTGGACTTTTATTCCAATACTACTTTAAGTATTCACGCTTATTTCGGATACTTTGAATTTAATGAATGATTTACCACTGATTTGGAACGACCCTTTACGACAATTTCGTTACGCCGTCCCCGCCTTCAAAAAGGGCCGCCTGAATCATTGTAACTGCCTTTACCAACTTGGCGTCTTCCGGACTCAAAGCCTTCATCTTCTCCCTCCAGAATCCCGGCTCGGGGAAGGTCGGATTATCGACGGCGCACCGCGTACCGTTCGCTGGTACGATGCCTTCAGACATGTACTGGCGCTGGAGCTTCATCGTACAAAGAGAGACCATGGATATAGATGTGTGCTAGAGGCATGGGAAAATGATCAGGTTCAGGTAGTGCAAAACTGGAATGAGGAACCCATGTCTTCTTACCCCCGGACCCTCTTGAATAACGAGAACGGACGAATTAGGCATCAGGGAGTTGATCAGTACTCCACTCGAAATGGGCGTCACGCTAAGGAACGATAATAGGTGAAACAGAACATCCGATGACTGACGGGGAGGGGAAGGGAGGGAGGCTTACGGATCGGCCTGATGGAGGGCATAAGCGTCACTGGTCACTCAACAAAGGGCAGGGGGGCACCCACCGTATTGCTAATAACAAGCATGGGTATATCCAGCGTCGCGTTCCACGGCCCGGTAAACCTCTCTGGTCCCTCCGCAGGCCAATACTGACACCCCCCATCAGGCTCACCCATACCGACGCTCATACCAAAATGAGGCGACACCTCGCGCAGGGTCCTCAGCCCCTCATCCGCCAGATCCTCCGCAGAGGGGACGTCCGCCACCGAGCCTGGCGGGGGCGAGTCCAGGCAGGTGACCGCCAGGCGCGCTGCGTCGTTCTCGTGGGAGATGCCCGAGGGGGGGACGATCCAGTCGTGCAGCTGCGTGCCGTTGCCCGCCATGGCTTCCGCGAAGGCTTTGGCGCTCGCCGGCCACATTCCGGGGCGCTCGAGATGGATGAGGAGAAGGCCTAGAGAGACAAACGGATCAGTCGGGTATTTGGGTATTTTGGGGGGACAAGAAAATCTAGCGCCTACCTCGTGCGGCGCCTGACGTCAGGTATCCGGGTCGGGATCGGGAGGAGCTGGGGGTAGCGAGGGGTTCCACGGCTAAGTGGTCGAAGAATTGCTCGAGTCTCTGTGCGAGGTGCTCCCACGGCTCGTCTTGGTATGCCGTTAGTGGGCACAGGGACGGCCCAGCCTAAGTGACGTGAGACGATGTGTTTCCCCCCAGAAAAACAGGCTCCCGTACCCGAGAGCAGTCCTCCAGATACATGCGATAAGTCTTCTCAGTGGAGGACAGCCATTTGAAGGGCCACTTGTGCGATGGTTCACCTGGAATTATTATGGCAGGAGATTTGAGAGTAAGGATGATCTGTCTACTCACTGGACCAATCAATGGGATTTACAATTCCGTCGATTACGGCGTAGCCGATACGGTGAGGAAGCCTGGTCGGTTTCAGCGAAATGGTGTCTGTGAGCGATGGTGCTACACACATATTCACAAGATAAGCGCCAAGTATTGAGCCGTACGAGCCGCCCCAGTAATTGCTAAGAGGGAGAGAAAGAGAGAGGTCAAAAAAAGATGGGGCCATGAGAACGAGGCGACGGACATCTTTGCTCCTTCACCGTCAAATACTTGACTCATAAAGTTCATATCTCTCACAACAGTAGCCGTGCCCATGTATCGTAGTTCATCTCCCATATGTGTGCCGCAGGACTCCGCCTGGCTCTTTTTCAGAGCCAAAAATTGCTTGTGCTGTTCAATGAGCTGATCGCGCAATAACGGAGAAGAGAGATTTGAGATGGATGAAACCGTGATTCCCTGCTCGATGACAGTGTTGGCTACAAAAAGCTGGGCCTCGAGGGCTGATGAGAAACATTTGGTCGCAGGGCTATTCACGCCGAAATGATCAGGCTCTGAAAAATTGTGCAGAGGTGAAAAAGAGAGACAGACGTTGACTGTCCTATTCCACGCGGGTCAAAGCCAATCAAATCCCACTGGTCGCCCAACAGCTCAGTGATATGTTCTCTTGCTCGAAGTAGGAGGTTCACTCCTGAACCACCCGGGCCCCCTTGACATATATCTTGAGCAACACTCATAACACAATAACGGACCCAGAACACGACGAACCGGGATTCAAAAACACAGATCCTTTTTTGTGCTTGGTCGCGTTTTGGCGCGCAATAGCTATTGTAGATGTACCGGCGCTTGGGTTGAAGTAATCCTTCGGAACGCTATGACCATCGTAACTAGGGGGGTTCCGTAGAGGGGGACAGTGCACTTACACAATAGAACCGCAGTCAATACCAGTGTATACACCGCCAGGACAAGGTCCCCAGAGAATCGCCCCGGGTTCGCCAGTAGCCTGCTTAGAAAATCGGAAAAGGGGAAGGCACGAAAAATGTTGGAGTCTGCTGAGATTATAGACGCCAAAAAGAGTTAGAATAAAGCCAGCGAGCAAGTACTTGGTGGGCCAGTGCGTTTGGTTCCGCCATCGAACGGCCCGAGTTGGTGTGCCTTCAAACTTGAACATTTCCACTGGCTCGATGAATGAACGTTACTGCGAAAAGCGCAGGAAGGGAAATAACCAGGGCCTTGGGAAAGCTACGCATTGGAACAGAGAGCATGTGGTTTACTCTGATCGGAGGATTTGGGAGCATCGGGGAGCGCGCGCAAGGTTATGCCGATCTCGGCCATCGGCTCCGCGGCCCTAGAATTCAAATCCCGACAGGCCTAAACGGGAACCCCTTCAACCCGGTGACGCTTTTTTTCCAAAAAAAAAACGACAATGGCACGCCGTTCAGCACCACCCAATTCAGGCCCTGCCTACATCCCAAAAATGCAGTACGTCCAAAGACGTGCGGTTCATGACCCTGACGAATCAGCGTTTGCCCGTTTCCTGCGCGAGGAGATCTACGCGCCCGAGAAGATGCCGGGAAATATCAGTATCGTCGTTGGGGTGTCGACGTTCATTGGAGGAATATTGGCTGTTAGAACGTGGGGGGAGTATATGGTACCAGCGTAGGCGATATTGCTCACGGTGTGTTGCCCTTTTTCGTCTGGGCGAAAATGTGTTGTCTGACTTTGTTTGTAGAGGTGTTTGGAGCTACGAAAGAGTACAGAAGCACCACAGTCCTCAGTTACAGGATACTTATAATATATGTACCATGGGAACACCAATTATTACGCACCTCCATTCTCTATTGCAAGATATGCTTGATGCCTGATGAGAAATTATGCTTCAAGTTATTCTGCCTAAAAGGTGTGTATCCATCGATTCAAAGTGATGCAAAGTCACTGACAAAACATCTCTCATTAGGCGAATGCCCTGGCGCTGTGGGGCCGTTAGCTTCTCATACTTCTCTCCGGGGACTCCACTGGCCCACAAAAGCGTGGGGGTTGCTATCGGCAACTTGCTCACTGGCTCTGTGTGAATGGTATCAGGCATGTGGCCTGTAGACCGGGACGTAGCTCCGTAGCTGCAGTTGTGACCCGACGAGGCTTAGATTCATGGCCAGCGATCCTGCAATCTGGCAAACAACTGACTGGACATAAAGTCTCCTGGTGCCAGGTGACTGTACCGGCTAACTATGCGGTAATCAGAAACGGCGTTAGGCAATGGGCCATGGTTGTTGCGGTATACGTACAACATTCGGATATCTCATTATTGCTGAAATTCTATATCTTCTTTGCACCTGTGAAATGCTATCCGTTGCAAGCCTTTTGACGTATACACGTCAACTGTATGGCATGGGCTGAGCACCGGGACCCGCCGGATAAGGCTACGGAGCAAAGGCGGCCCAATTTAGGCCATTTCCGGGCCAAAAACGGGCCCAAACTAGCTAACACACCTAACACAAATTGCAAAAACAAAAAAAGTCGTTCAGCTGGGCCCATGACCTGGATCTGTCCCCCTACATGGCGTTCGTTGCCTGTCAGCGGATTTTCTGCTGTATTTCCAGCAGTATTTCCAGCAAAAGCGATGTTCATTCGGATGCTGGCGTCATTGATGAGACCTCCAGACTCATTCCCGCTACCGAAGAACCTTCGTGCGCCGCCCCCATATTTAATTTCGTGTATTATAGGGCTCACTTGCTTCTTTTTCATTCAAAGTAGGCCAACAGTAATGAACGTGGATTATGGAAGGTTAAAAGGAAAACTGGGAACAATTGTTCGAGCGAAGGAAGGGTGCGTCGCTGTGTCTTCCTCGCCTCGTTGGAGCTAACGTGCCACACAACAGACGGATGGTGAACGTCAATGCCCACGGTCCCTTCAATCTGCAGAACCATCCCTCTACTTCGTATCTCCCGGAAACACCCAGCAGCCTGGACGAGCCAGTCGACAGGAACAGCTTATCGCAAGCCTACCCAGAGCAACACATACCTGACATCGACAGCTTCATGCGCCCGGGAATATACAGGCACCCCAGTTCTGACTCTCGCCGCTCCAACGGGCCTGCTGATTACCCATCCAACCCTATTTTCTCTGCACGCATTGTCAGCGTTAACGGAATCGAACGAACAGATGTGCCTCAGGTTGGGTGATTTCATTTCGGAACCGGATGTAGGACTGACTGGGCGATTTTTAGGATCCTGATGCAGTCCCTGACATACCAAAGCTGGACGTCGGGTCTCTGTCGAGGAGTTGGGGTGACTGAGGACGGAAGGCCTTGCTCCTGCCCCTTCCTTTAATAGAGCACCCTCGTCGATGATCATCTATGTATGGCACCAAATGCTTTTTAGTTCAGCAAAAACGATTTTTTCTTTTGCTAGCTTTTGGGTGTATTTTACTTTTCGAACAATTTGATACCTCTCACCAGACCGACACCTGCTCCCGTCTTGTCCGCATACACCCACGCTCGCTCTTGCTCGTTGACGCCAAGGGCATCGAGCAGCCTCTTCGCCGTATCAGGAATGAATGGCTGTAGGCAGATTCCAGCAACGCGCAATGCTTCAACAGAGGCATCGAACGATGCCAGTGTAAGAGCCGGAGAATCTCCATTCCATGGTTCGACGTCGGTCAGTATCTTATTCGCCTGTGCCGAACGTCAGTGGTGGGGGGAGGGACGAAGAAACTGTGAGCAAAGAGCACACTGACCAATCTGACCACCTCCATTATCCTCTTCAAAGCATCCGAGACCTCGAGCGATTCTAAATCCTTCGCCACCTCGCCGGGGAGAACCTTCAATGCTTCGCACAGAGGCTCGTATCGGCCATCTTGGGCAGGTTCTAGAACTCCCCCCTTTTCCCTAGCGCCGTCGATAATCCCCCGTATCTTCGAAGAAGTCACGCGAAGCAGAAAATTGCCCAGGATATTCCGGAGCTCGGTCGTCTCCTTCTTCACTTGGGCGTCGGACCAATCTAGTCGGTCGGTGAACAGTAACAGTGAGCTCAAAGGAACCGCGCGTCAAAACCAAGGCAAGCAACCCAACCCACCAACATCATCTCGGAAGTTGCCTCCCGCAATCGCCATGTAGTATCGGACAGGGTCGACACCGTACGTGCCCATAACATCAAACGGGTCCGTGGTGTTTCCCAAAGACTTGGACATCTTCTTCTGAGATGACGTCCAGTGCGCGTGGGCAAGGAGTCGACGCTGTAGCGGGAGCTTGAGCGCCAACAGAATAGCTGGCAGATATATCGCGTGGAACCTATTAGCAAGCAAGTTAGTTAGTTAGTTCACAGAGAGTTTGCCCCTCTTTAGCCGCACCTGACAATATCCTTCCCAATTATCTGAAGATCAACAGGCCAGCCATTGGAGAGGCCAGAATTTTCGGCATCTCTCCAAGGGTATCCGATAGCAGTCAAATAAGAAATCACCGCGTCTATCCAGACATATATCGTGTGCTCTGGGTCACCGGGGACCGCGATCCCCCACGAGAGCCGCGCGCGTGGCCTCGAGATGGAGATGTCCTGGAGCGGCTCCGTCAGAATCGCGAGGGTATCCGCGAGATGCTGCTGCGGGAAGATGGCCGTCGGGTGCGCCGCGTAATGGTCCAGCAGCGCCCCGCGAAAAGCCGACAGATGGAACATGTAGTTCGTCTCCGTGGTGTACTCGACGGGGGAGGACGTCTCGGTGGCTATGGCCTGTCCTGCGATGTGCGACACGGCACCGTCCGGGTAGAAACACTCGTCGGTGATGGAGTACCAGCCCGAATACGTCCCTTTGTAGATCAGCCCTTGGGCGTCTAGTTCGCGCTGCAGAGCACGGCGTTAGCAGTAGGGCTTGGGTGAGAAAAAAGAACGCCCCCCCTGCGTACCCAGATATGCCGTACTGCTTCCTCATGCGCGTCCTCGCTCGTCCGAATGAATCGAGTATACGAAATGTTCGCGGTTCGGGATAATCGCTATCAATGACCAAGCGTATAAGCGGGAAGGGGGGCATGGTAGTAAGCACATAAAGTATAAGGAACACACACGGAAATGGGTACTGAGGTGGTCGCAAAACTCCTTGGGGGGAAGGCCTTTGGCCTGAGCGGCTTTCTGGATCTTCAGGCCATGCTCGTCTGTTCCGGTGGTAAACAGCGCTGCTCGAGAGGGATCTTTGAGGGAATAATAGCGGTAGTAGATGTCTGCTATCAAGAGGGAATACAAGTGGCCTATATGAGGAACTTGCAAATAGCATCAGCTTATGCCTTGGATGGTTTCGAGATAACTTTTTTTTTTACCTGCATTGGGGTAAAAGATGGGGGTAGTAATGTAGAAGGGTTTAGCCGTAGACACGTGGCGACATCCCAAAGATTGCGTATTCAAGAGGCGAAGAGGATGTAAAGGCAGTCGGCGAAACATGTAACGTCTACTAGTGATGGTTGACCAAAAAAAAAAACAAAATTTGCCACGCGATAACACCGGCCCTCAATGATATCCTTATTGGGGCATCACCGCTTCCGTCGGTATTTGCATACAGGCGGGGATGCTCTTTGTCCCAGGCAGGTTACATACGACGAGACTGAGGATACAACACCAATGTTACTGCCAGCTACCAACAATCTTAGACATTGTGCAATTCTCCGATAGAAGAACTTCACAAGAAGAGCACCCACGCTGCCGCCGCCCTTCAAAGAAACAGTGATATGAGAAGAAACTTCCCTTGGGGCCAGGCTCCTTCGCCTAAAACCTTTTCCGATCATGCTTCAAGGCCACCCACACCCCTGATTGTAGGGGAAGTTCTGGGATATTAACATTTCAGAATGGGGGCACAGTGAGTGATATGAGGGTAGGGAAAACTCGGAAGCGAAAGACTGGCACTTCATGGTGGGTCGCCACGATCACCCCACCATTGCAGGTGAAAAGTGGACTGACATCGGTTAGCGCAAAAAGGATAGAGTAAGGGAGGATCGTCTTCCGAGGAAGGAAAACGAGGGAGGGCGCCTCGCCTCGCTCGGAGGATGGTCGTGTTCTGTGATGGGATGGAGGGTGAATAACACGAGGCTCGTGAGGACGAATCCGTATCCGTATTACAGAAATCGAAGGTGTTCTTCTTCCATGACAGCGTGGTCATCCAACGAGGCAGGGCTTTGATCCTATCGTGCCCCGTGGCCAGCCCTTTTGCAGAGACTTCCGAAACCGAAACTGAAACCTTGACGCGACTGGTTTCGGCATGACAGCCAGATGTTCTTCCCTGTTTAGTCGTCCAGAATACTATTAAGCGGCGATCATTCATTTGCACAGCAGAGTGATACATACATACATACTTATTACTCGGATGGAAAGCCTGTGGGGTGCTATTACTAGCCGTCAATGCAACTTCTAATGACAGACATATCGCGAAATACCCATCAGAGCTGCCAAAAATAAATTCCCAGCGTCGCGTTGGTTCCAATCCCATCCGACGAAGAATCTTAGGTGAAACCTGGGCAGTGTGGTAATGTATTAGAAGAGAATTTACTGTTATCAATCAACGCCAACGCGGTACCGATATGAATTGCACAACGTCCATCTGTACGAAGAAGAACGTCTGGGAATGGGGGCAGGGAGAGAAGGATCAATAAGCGAGCGAGCGGCGAAAGGTTCCCAAGGAGCGCCGTGTGTTGTTATGGCAGTAGTAGACACTGAATGATCGGTGAGGATGGGAAGGAGGGGGGGGCAGAATTTCCGCGAGGGTGAATAATCGGCAGTGTAGATTTCCCCGGTACTACTACTATCAGGGCACTTCGAGAGGCAACTCCTATAATCCCGGATTCATCATGTAAAATACAAAGTGACAAAGCATAACACAAGATGACTGGCAATATTCTATGAGAGACCCGAAGATCTGATGGATACTCAAGAGATCCAGTGGTTCAGCCCACTAAAATCGCTTAGTCCTCGGAGTAAGTAAGGAACAGAGTCCCTGACAAACTTACAAGACAAGTGTTCAGTCCCCTCGTTGAAGAAATATTCTCATAAAGAATTGAACGGATATTGTCTGAACTTCTGTAGGGCCTTCCTTCTACTAGCGGGCCCCTTGAAGTTAAGGCCTCACGGCAATTCCCGGCTCAGCCGCTTCGTCCAAAAGAGGCGCCCCGCCCCGCCCGCCTCCTTCCATACCCAAGCACATGCTGACACTGCAAAAACTCGCCCTCGCGAAACTCCTGACTCCTTGGTCTCGAATATACTTACGTTGTCCAGTTAACTAACTCTTCGAGCCCTGATATTCCACATCGCCAAGTGCCATTGTTGTAAATTATCTGGTGTTCTTCGTTGCTGGACATATTCCTACTCGTATTTTCTCTCTTTACACGTGAATCTCTACCAAAACCATACATCACCCTAAGCTTACTGTGCGTCCATCGTCGTCAGAGCCCATCTACATACAAAGGTTCAGAAGGTCAACTCGACACCACTGTTACCATACTTATGATATAAGAAAGAATACATATTATTACTGCTACATGAGGGGTTTATTTATTACACAATCAATGTCGTAATTAGCGGATCCGGCAGGTATAGTTTAACGATGGAAATGAAACGCGACAAACCGACAAGGAGCGTGGCGTGGGCTAAGCAACGTCCAACACGCCGATACGAACGAACAGCGTCGAGAAAAGATACTGCGACATCTGCGCGTCATGCAAAGGAAGATGACGGTAACCTGTAAAAAATCGAATAATCAGCAACCGTTTCCCCAGCACAGCACAGCACAGCAGAAAAAAAAGCCAAAAGCGACCAACCCAACTGCAACGATCCCAGCGACGCACAAAAGACCGCCAACGGTTCTCCGTCCTCCTGCCCACCCTGCTTAACAGCAAAGCGGACAAAAACGAGCTCCTTCATATCCCCAACGCATTCAAATGGTATACTCAGCCTCTCCTCCCATACGGGGTTGAACCCGTTATTCTTCACCATATTGGTGCGAGGAGGCCTGCGTTGTTCCAGAGTAGGCATAGTCCAATCTGGGACATGCACCGACACTTCCACATACGGATCCACCGATCCCTTCTCTATAACCTCCCGCCCAGTCGCGTCCTTCGGCCGTGGCAGCTGCTGCGCCGAGATGATAGTCACCTCAAGACGATGCTTCGTGCGCTTCATAAGCACATCCTTGTTTTGGGCCCGCAGGGCCATGGGCTTGAGAATGTATCCCGAGCGACCATTCCGCTGAAACATCGCCTGGTTGATCATGTACCCCAAATCTGATCTGAACGTCAGCTTGAGGACTTGGGGATAACACAAATCCTGGTCTTACCGAAGGTCTGCCAGTTGAGGGCCACCAGCTGCACGCCCGCATACCAGCATCTGTGCGGTTCATAGTTGGTGGAGTTGACCCTCATCCCCTTGGGATATATCCTGACCAGATGATCGCGCGTATGCTTGATGAGATCCATTACCGTACTGCTTTCCTTCAGATACTTATTCACCGTGCTCTCCGACAATGAGAATATATGCTCAGGCGCATACTCCTCCTTCTTATTCAGGCCTCGACATTTGACGCCGACTGTGTAAACCAGGAGGTCAAGCAGCTTTTGCGACATTTTGACCTTGAGCATCGCCTCAAAGGGGGTTGTTATCATCACGGGTGAGGAAGAAGGGAAAAAGGCCGTAGGACTCGGCGGTAATGTGACGGTTGAGGTGCCCGAGGGCGACCTGGAGTGCGACACAGGTCGGCCCGTTCTTGGTGATCTAGCTGCTTTAGAACTGGACATCCTTATGCTGCGAACTCGCTCCATAAAGGTCGGCTTTGGTTGGAATTCTTGACTGTACTCTGGTACAATATCAGCGCAGTGTTATGATGTCAAAGTAGAAGCAAGCTCACCCATCATTATGGCGTCGGACTGCCGCCGCTTTGGATTTCGCCAGTCATCCTCCGAGTCGTCGGTGGATGATGCCGAGGTATCTATAAAAAGACCACCATCTGCGGCTTCATTACTGGAAATATTGAGGTTCTTGGTCTATGGCGCCGCCATTGGTCGTCAAGATGTAGAAGATACACAAGAAGCTTACCTTCAACAAGATTTTCCCTTTCAGCTCCTCAGGACTAGGAAGCACTCTGATCGGCTTGTCCGGTCGCTTCTGGACGAGGGCATCCCCAAACACATCCAGCATGATATCAGCGATCATGTCTTGCTGCTCAAGCCTGCAATGGACCTCGGCGGAGATTATGATAGGGTACGGAGAAGCAACGAAGCCGTACTTCATGATGGCCTCGCAGACCTCACGCAAAGATACTTTGGTCGTGAGCGTCTTGCCGTGGTAGACCACGGGGCCATCATCGCCGTCATATACATCCACTACGGAAGAACCATGTAAGAATATGTCACAGGAGATCGTTATAGGATGTACCTTCAACGCTCCGACAACTATGGAGTAATGCACGGATATACCCCTCGATAGTGCTTGTTCCAACGAGCTGGTGGCCAACAAGATACGTGTTGTGCGAAGAAGAAATATAGTATTCCGACAAGGGACGAGTCATGTCATGATGGATCCTCCTGTCATGATCGGGCAAGGCTGGATTGTCGCTAGACATGAGGAAGTTGGTGAAGGCTTTCCGAGACATAATCAGCTTGGGGCAAGGATCTGTTGGTACCTCGGCGGTCTTCTCCTCGCCTAAAGCGGGAGATGTGGGTTCCGTCGTAGCATACTTATCAAAGACGGCTAGAAGCTCTTCCCGGGTATGCGTACACTAAAAACTATTAGTAGAAATTAGATACAAACCACTGATGCTTACGAACGTGTTGCTTCTCCTTCATGAAACTTTCGAATGCTTCGAAATCAAAGGTGCCGCCATTTATCTTACAAAGCTGGTTGTAAAGGCGGTCCAACTCCGGTCGCGCCTTTAGAAGCTTGACAAAAAGCCTCCAATCGTCGAAGTCCAGGTAATTACGATTACTCGTGTCGGCTTGCTAGGTCGAGTCAATAGAAGGAGTGTGCAAAAACACGGAAAGAGTACCTTGAAGAGTCTATAAAGGTCGTCTTGGCCACTGTTGATCTGCAACCTCTTGCAGAGCTTTTCCACCTCTTCGAACTCCAACTTCTGATCGTGCTCCTCGTCAGCACCTTTCCAGTAATGCTTGTCCCACATGGCCTGCCGCATCTCAACGTAGCCAAGGCCGTTCATCAACTTTTGACGTACAGCATGTAAGCTACGCAGGGTGTAATTCCACATGTCAAAGACATCCTTGGTAGGCACGACGACGTGGAGGGTCTTGTAGTCACCATCGAGAATATAGATGATAGTAAGCCACCGCTCTTCACATTGAGGCGCGAGCTGAAATTGCTGGCGGTAATATCGAGCATCGGAACCGGACCGAATTTCCTTGATAGCTTCAATAGGAACTATCAAAGGATTAGATTGTGGAGTGAGAAGTCACTCCAGAGAGCCGGAGCGCTTAAGTGGAGTTGGAAAAACAGCGAGAACTTTAGGATGCGTTCTGACACTATACCACGTATTTCGTCGCAGAAAAAAGCGCTAGGAAACGCGTCGCAAAATCTCGCAGTTTTGGCACAAATTCAACTGCGGAATACCGGCTCTCCAGAGCAAACAGAAGAAGAGACGAGGACGTACTATATCGATGCACCTTTCCTTCCCAGACTATACGCCCCTGGTCGGGATCCAAACGAAAAACGACCTGTCTGCGCTTCTTGCTGGACACCTTTACCATTGGAGTTCCCTTCTGCAACACCAATGGCACAGTCACTTCCAAATGTGGCGTGACTGCGTCCCGCTCGTGCTTGGTATCCGCTGTCTCGTCGGCGGTATGAGCATGCATCAAACTAGGTTTCTTAATATCGAATTCGCCATGCTGCGCGCTCGGGGAGGTAGAAGGCGACCGTGTCCATACCATGTTGTTGAATTTTCGACGTATCGAGGCGCCCAGTTTGTTGGAACGCTTGCTTGGAAACTTGGCAGGCTCGGCGGTGAGTCCATCGACTGGCTGCCCATTGGAATTGAGAACATTCGCCGCCCGTCGCAGAATATGATTCTGTTGAGGCAGGCAGTCCGTCATGGCGGGCTAGGCTACGAGAGAGGCATGGGCGCTCCCGTACAAAGCAAGGAGTCAAATTATAAAGTGTTAAACCAGCGCCTGGATTCCTGTCACGGATTGAGTCACATCAAGTCACGATTGTGATCGCAGGGTCGCCCTTTTCGGAACTGACTGGGTTAAAAATAGTTTCCGCCGCCTTCTCTTCCGCTCCGCATGATATACTTTTAAGTCATGTTTGAGTCAGCTCATGTAACTCAAAGACTTAAGGTTTCGCTATCAGTATCGCAAAGTATCGCGGCTATTGGTTGGTTCTAGTTGCAAATTGCATCTACTTGGAAAAGGCATAGGATCAAACAGAGAATGACTGCTGTGCATGCTCAATTTAGACTGCGACGAACATGACTGGAAATATCTTCGTTTCGTATCTACTTGACTCCAATTTTGGAAGAGGGTGTTCCTCCAATTGCGAGCCGAACGTACCGAGCAAAGCTTTGGTTCCCTTTACCTGGAGTTGATCGATGAGCTATGCAGACAGCGTGCTCCAAGCTAGAACCCTGAATCCAAGTCCTCAAGTTGATGTAACGTTTTGGCTCATAGTGGATCCTGGCATGGCAGTCTCGATTGCACAATCACCGCCCTTGCATCAAAAAGCGGTATCTATGCAAGCCGTGTGCGTTGCCTCCCGGCGAGTGACCCCTTCGTTGACTCATCTCTCTGCCTAGATGCAGTGCAGCACGCGCATTATATAGTCTTTGACATCAGTATCAATGGTGGCCTACCTCAACGGTCAACCTAGAATGCTCGAAACCACAAAAGTCCATGACAGTAAGATCGCAGCGTTCACAAGATTTCGGTTTGTTCATATCTCATCAGTTATTGGCTGATACGAGATGATGGTTTTGAGGAGGGAGGCCCATCAACAACACCATACATCCATATCTCTGTCTCCTGATTGGTGAATTAGACGATCACAAGACTTGACAAAGACTTCTTGGCATCGTTCTTACTGCTGCATACTCTTGCAAGCCTCTTCAGCCCATGCTAAATGTTCACACCCCTCTAAACAAGTTTCTCTAGGGCAATACTATCGCCGCCGATCATGCAAACCCGTACAGCAGACAAGGCTTAACTTGCTCGCCGATCTGTACTTTCGGGTCTAAGCGGCTTTACCGAACAACTGATGCCCCTCCCTCTGACGAACAAGCACAATGGAATCAGCAATCGCCATTATTTCGGATACCGGAGGATCTTTCTTTCCACTGCCATGTATACACGTCTCTGTGTGAACGATCTGACGGAGGCATATATTTAACGGCTGTAACCGGCATTCTGTCCGCTTCTCTTCTTAATCATATTCCCGCCTCTCGAGCTTTTCCCCCTCCCCCCCTCCCTCCTTTCTTTCATGTCAACGCGAGGTTGGTTCATCCAGCTCTACCCTCAACCAGTCTCTACACCTTGCTGATTTGTTCATCCGCAGGGGTAGGGGTGTCTTCTCTGTGAGAACATCTGACAAACCAAAGCGAAGGTCGGTAGGAAACCTATCACTCGAAACGGAAAGCCATCGCTCATCGACAATTTGTCGTCCTATTTGTACTGTACAGATATCAGTTTTCAGTTGTTTCGACGTTAAAGCGTTTGCAACCAAGTACGTTATATGTTCTGAGTGGCGAGTGCGTTCGTTCGTTCGTTCGTCGGTTCATGTCTTCTATATAGCTGGACTGCCCGTCGCTGATGATAAACAGCTCTAGCCAAAATGGAAACGAGCGCTAGTGCTTTCCTCGCTGTCCGATATTCACCCAGTGCGTTCTCTCCATAATCCCCAGTCCTCCTTTACTCGCCTAACCCAAGTGCGTGCGTAGCGGCCGCGGTATGCCTGATGATCTGGGACCATCTCCTCACGCTCGATCAGGAAATAGACGCGATATGGACGTCCCGCAATAAGGGATACCTCCCCAAGCTCATTTACGTTCTGAACCGCTACTTTGCGGAGGGTGTGCTTTTATACACGGCATATGGTGCGCATAGCCCCCCCCCCTTTTTTTTTTTTTCATCTTATGAATCTGGGCTCATGCGGAGCAGTGTGGGGTGTATTTAGCCACAGCTTGACTGATGCAGTGAGTTCCGGGATTCTTTCTCGCCAGTCCGATTTGATTACTCAATCCCGCGCGTAGGAGTGAGGAAAACCGCTTCATGTGAACCTCCTTCCAGCGCACTGACACTGACGTCTCTTCCCTGGCCAGCTGTACACGGGTGCTATGGCTTTTCACCATGTCATCAACAGTGATGGTTGGGTTGCTTCAATGTAAGATATCACTCCCTCGAAATCACTTTGTCATCTCAGCCACCGTCTCCAGTCCTCATCGCAATGCGGGTGTACAAGTCATGGGATAGCCAAAAGAGGGCCGGTTACGTTCTTCTCGTGGCGTTCTCTGTTTGCATCAGTGCTGCATTCGTCCTTGCCGTTATCACCGTCATCGTGTTCTTAAAGACGACGAGTGAGTCAGCTGCCTCCGGTTCGCGTTTCTCTTCTCGTGGTAATGACGCGCGTGTCCTGCGAAAGCGATGCTTTACCTAGGACACCAGCAAGGAAACGTGTGTTTCATGCTTGAAGGCTTACCACGATCTGTACCCGCTCTTCTCTCGACGCTGGTATGAATGAAATCCATTATCCACGTCAAGCACCGTTTTCAGAAACAATATATCATGACAGCTCGCCTTTGACGTGTTAATCGTCTTGATGGTTCTCTACAGGGCGCTCGAGAAACCCAGACGAACCCATATCGAAGCGATCAACTCCTTCCATCGTGATGGTGCTCGTCTTTACTTGGTTGCGTCCCCTCATTCCACATTAATTAATATCCGCTGACCGTCTCTTAGAGCGTATGCCGTACGTTGTTTTTTTAATCTTTGACTTGTCTTGCCAACTTTAAACGATTCCCGATTCCAGTCCTGTGGCTCCTGCTTTTGATTGTGTCCATCATTTCGGCGAATGAGGTAAGAAGACCCAATACACCACCGTGTTATCGTTCGTCTCATTGTTGGTTTCTCACTAGCCCCATATATTTTTTTCAATAATGTGGTGAGAGCAGCAATTGGTTTTTTTCTTTTTTTACGCATATAGGCTAATTCAGATGATGCATAGTGCATCTTGGGCTTTAAACACCAATATAGGGTGTCGCGTGCATCTCCGAGTGGAAGGACTCCAATTCCCCGTGGGAAGCGGGACGCCAGACGTATTCTTACTGTATCGGAACGCTAATGACTCTGAACTGTACTACTAGTGATGGACGCAGGTTTTACGATTTGACTTTTTTATGTAGTACCGATGACCATTACAGCTTGATTTCGAGCGTCGAAACCGAGATCGCCGAGATACTAATCATATACTCGTCTCAAAGTTGTTAAAAACTGGTTTATGACGAAATTATTCACTTGCATAAAAGACACGCCACGGTTATGTACTAGTTGTACGCAAACAGTATATGGCGGTTTGTGGTTGTTCCAACGCTTCATTTATGATCGATGTAAACCTTATCGACACTCACCACCGCGCATGCGCCCTGCGTGTCGGATAGCAGACGAACGAGGCTAAAAAGGAAAGGGCGTCTTAGGAAGCTGTACCTACACAAGGCGGACGATGTCGTCGCAATGTCTGACGACGACGGCGCTAATGTTATTCGCGCAGGCGGTATAAAAGGCGCTCAACGACCCCCCAGCCCCAAACCTTTCTTTCTTCTCGCCCTTCACAATATACTCGGCCAGCTTCTATGGAGGCTTGTTATGCGATATGTCTGGATATCATTCACCGGCACCATTACCGAGGCATACGTCCTATTTATACGACTGGCGGGTGATGATGACGGGCACCTCTGTACAACCATCGAAACTCCGAGCTTGATATTGGCGCCTTCCTAGTAGACAAGAGTGAGGCAGCGCGGATTCTGGCTGGCTTCGTTCCCAGGGACACGTACGCCAGAAAATACATCCACGAAGTTCATAGTATTCACCACTTTTCAACCGCCCACGAGCATAGTCCGCGGCCCTTGATGGCTTCCCTTCCCTTCTTTCATGCTAAGACTCGCCATAATAGCACGGACGCCGCTTTCCCAATCCCGAGCACGCTTCAGACCAAACAGTGAACGAGCGAGCAATTATGGATAATAGTCAATCCAAAGCATCCCCCACCCCCATTCAACAAATAAACCCTCTCCGCGAAAAACGTCCAACTAATAATAAAATAGACCATACACATATATCGTTACAGATCGTGAATACAAAAATAAGTTAGCATATAATATGAGCAATTACGCCTAAGATATATATACTAAACCCCTGCCTGCCCATCAAGAACTTCCACGAAGGGCCCTACTATGACTCGGCTTAGCTTAGCTTGGCTCGGCTCGGTGTCCACATGCGGCATGCTGCGTGACCCTCATCGTCGGCCCGCCATCCACGGGTGGAGCCCGCACAATAAGAATCCAAGAATTCCTGCCATAGAAAAAAAAAAAAAAAACCCATCAGTCAGTCAGCCACGCTCTACCCGACAACAGCTGCTGGAATACACACACATACCCCCCCTCTCGGCGCCGGACAAAACCCCCAAAAGAAAAGAGAATTCAAGAAAACCGTGCTGGCCAGGCTTAGAGGATTCCTGAGTCTTTCAGTGCGTTTTGCAGGATCGTCTCTTTCACCGCGACGAAGACTAGTCGGACGTTGGCGGTGTCGGTCGCCTGCGTCAAGCTGTGAATCAGACGAAGTTATAACACATCCACATGCGTACTAGGAAAAAAAAAAAAAAAAGCGCACTGTGGATAAACACTCAGCCTGGCTCTATTCGCCTTCATGAACCGCCACAGAATATACTTGGCGGCCTTGTTGATGTCCTTCCCGCCAGGAAACTCGGGAAAGTAGCGCTCCAGCGGTATCTTGGGGATCTTCTTCTTGAAGACGTCACTCTTGTTCAGGAAGAGCACGATGGAGGTGCGGAGGAACCACCGCGAGTTGATGACGGACTCGAAGAGCACTAGTGACTCCGCCATGCGGTTCTATTCAGGGGTGGGTGAGGCGGAGGTTGATTGGGGGGGGGGAGATGGAAAAAAAAACGCGCACCTGGCTTTTGTCCTCCAGCAGGACCTGGTCGTACTCGCTGATGGCCGTGCAAAAGATAATGGACGTGACGCTCTCGAAGCAGTGTATCCACTTGCGGCGCTCCGAGCGCTGGCCGCCCACGTCAAACATGTGTATCCTGAGGGGGGAGGATCATCGCTCTATTAGCGAGCGCGACGGGGGGGGAGGGGGACGGCAGCAAGGAGATGGGATGCCACGCACTGCAGTTGGCCCATGGTGAACCTCGTTTCGGTGATGGCGGTCGTCGTTGCCCGCGCACGCAGGATGTCTGTCTCCGTGGGCCTGTATCCCGGCGCGCCGATACGGAGGACCTCTGTGAAGAAGCTGGTGGACATGGTTACGATTACGAGGAAGACGGGGAGGGGAGGGGAGGGGGGGACTCACTAGAAAGCACTGTCCATCAGGTAAAAGTCACTCGAGTGCTCGTCCAGGAGCTGCGGGATCGCTCCGTCTTGGCAGAAGAGGTGTATGGCGTTGGCGACGTCGGGGGAGAGGACGTCGTCTCGTCGTTCTAGCCGACAGTCGAGTATCCTGTCTGCGAGGGCCTGAGTGGGGGCGCGCGCGGGGGGGTGTGAGCACGGTAAATAATCTCATCAGCGTAACGTACCTGATTCGACTCGTTGGCGTATTGAATCCCAATCTTGCGCATCATCAGGGCAATAGCCTGTGCTGAATCAAGAACGTTCTTGTATATCGTCCCACGGTAGGAATCCCGCTCCTCGATGGTAAAGCCCCCCTGGTGGATGATCTTCATCTGCTTGACAATGGTCGATTTTCCTGATTCTCCGGAGCCTGGGGTGGGGTCAACGTCAGTATATTGGATGGATGGATGGTTTCTGCACGCACCCAAGAGCAAAATCTTGCATTCCTTCTTGAATCGTTTGCCGTCATCCTCGAGTTGTTTGTCGATCAAATCGGAACAGGCCTTCTCGTCCTGATTGGGCTGCGAGACGCAGTTGCCCATTCTGGCGGCCAGGCGACGCGTAGATGCTGGGGGGGGAGGGGAGGCGCAGACACTATGGAGGTGGTGGTACAAGTAAGAGAGGTAAATAGGCTGACAAGTGGCTGGTTCATCGCCCCGTCAGTCTGCCGTGCAATATGTTGAAATCCGTGACAATTTTGTGACAGCTGTCAATCGTGTTACAACGCAACCCTGTCGACGTGCTGTTCTAGGCTTTCATCACCACTTCCTTCATTTACGCTTCATTATCGTTTTTTCTTTGCTATACTATATGCGTGCATACGCCATCTTCCAGTTATCTATCATGGCACCTTCCTGGGAACTGATGTTCATTTTACGGGAGTGCAATTGGTGCCACGGCGGTTCTTGTGTTCTTCTCAGGCTCTGGCTATCCCATTTTGCTAGCTGTTCATGTGCTTTTCTACCGGCCATTTAGAATAGCCTTATAACCTGCATTGCGGAACCTTATATCTGAGGGGGCCATCGCGTGTTCTGTTGGAATGACAGCGCTTACTGCGATCTGCGTTGGAATATTTCCAAGTTTGAACGTGAAACGCTTAGAAAAAGAAACACAGATTTGTTGCGAAGCCGCTCAACAGACGGACGACCGACCGACCGACCGACCTCGCTACCAGAGATTCGTCCCCCTCCGTGCTATTGACGACACTGCGGTTCTGCGGATCAGAGGATGATAATTGCCTGTGACCAACCGGTCCGAGCTACCCCCCATCATCCGTTTTGAGGGAGAAGACTGTGCTGGGGGGATGATTTCATTACACCGATTCTGGCAAGTTTACACACTTGACCATGGATAGGTATGTTGTGGCGTTCAAGGTGGATGAGTTACAGCGTCCATCAATGCAAGTGCCTGGGCATGTCACCCCCCCCTTCATGGAGCTCATAATAATAATAATAATAATGGGTTATCTTTTCGGTTACCCGTGAGTGCGCCTAGCCCAGATGTGCGCACTCGAGTCGCCAGGCTAGAAAGTTGTGTCAAAGTTTGACGGACGGATGCAGGGCGCATGAGTCACCGTATTTCTTTCCATGCCAGCCTAACCCTAGGGACTTTGATACATCGGCATGCACGAATTCGTAAATGCGAAACTAATGAATCTGTGCACATATATGGTTGGATTATAGTTTAATCGTGTGCCCGCTCAGCAACATATGTCTTCCCTAGCCAACAAGTGCCGTAAATTCAGGTTCTTGGTGAAGGTCAACCGTGTGCTCCCTGCCGGTCCCTTGAAGCTAGTGTTCCCGAGCCTATCCACAGCTTACGAGTCTATCAATAATCTATCTATAAAGACGGCTTGCCAGGCTATTATCTTGAGCCGATTGGGTATAGATGATGATGTCATTTAGATCCGGCATACGGAACTTTTTGTAATCAACCACGACCGCAAGGTGCGCCGGTATGGACGAAGACGCAGAATTGGTATAGCCTATAGGAGTAAAAGAATGATCATGATGAGGAAATTGCAACATATGGATCGGTAGCGCTTGGTGGTGTACCGGTACGGTACGAAGTTGCCTGCTCTTCTGATTCTCGAGTTCTAATGCCCCTGCCCCACTAGCCTGTTCATAGGCAAAGATAGTCACATTGGTAGATCGGCGACTCGGACAATCTTGGTGCGTCGACAACGTTATCGACGACGCCGTTCTATGAGATAGATTCGACGGCGACCAGGATCTCATGCAAGATATGCTCGTTGCGAGGGCTCTGCAGCCCTGGTCGCGCTCGGTACCTACAGAGCTCACAAGGATCATCATTGATGAAATTGCCCAAGACCAACACCAAGGTAAATCCACCCTGGAGGCCTGTGCTCTCGTCTGCCGAGCATGGACACCCATCGCCCAGATGCACATCTTCCATTCTCTCCACATAACGGTTCACATAGACTGCTGGAAGTCGCCCCTTCTCTTCTTCGCTCCCTCTATTCACGTATCAAAGAACGTCGGTGCACTCAGTCGGCTCCTCAGATCTTCCCCTCACATCTCTTCATATGTCAAAAGACTGATATTCACCGCCTCGTACGATCATTGGTTCTACTGCTCCATCCCTGGGACCCTGGCTGATATCATCAACACCAAGCTTGGGCATCTTTGGGGCCGTTTCCTGCCGCGCTTCATGCAGAGCCTGGACAGAATCGAGGAGCTCATCTTCCCCACCAACCTGTGCCACCCGCTGTCGGGGGACGTGCCAAAGACAGTGATCAGTGGGATGCGCTGCGTGCTGCGTTCGACGTCGCTCACGTCGCTGGCGATGCTATCCGGGACCTCGCACGATCTGTACGCCATCTTGGGTGAATGCCGTGGCCTGCGCGACCTCCACGTAGGGGATATAACATTCCATCACGAAACGCCCAGCCCTTCCTCGTTCCCGCCACTGGCCTTGAAACTCCAATTCCTCGCCATAACCTCCCGTGTGGACGCATATATGCGCTTCGTCAATCAGTCACCACGCGGACTCGTTGATTTCAGCCACTTGAAGCGATTAGAGATCATCATCAGTGGATCTTTCTTTGCGATGGAAGCAGATCTCGTCGTCCCCACCACACAAGATCTGATTCGTCGGAATAAAGAGACATTGCGAGATCTCGTCCTGAATGTGTGTCTCCAAGGTGCGCCGCCGCGTATCAGTATTATCTCCTGGGAACAACAACAAAAAAGTTTGTTGGCTGACGGCATTATTATTGCTAGAACGTCTATTCGATCTTGTCGATCCTGCGCACATTCGGAAGTTGGATATAACCATGGCTTCCTCGCCTCGTCCCGCTTCGCAAAATCTAAAGGCGTGGGTACGGTGGCTAACTCGGGCCTTTTCTGGCGTGACGACGTCGATTAGCCTTGAACGATGTCTATTCCGACTGAATGGGTTCAATACCTTGGGTGATGTCATGGCTGTGTATGACGAGTGGAGGAAGCTGGATACCATCATGGCTTCGCGGCCTGGACTGGCTGGACTGAATGTGCGCTTGTGGCGGAGCGGGTCTCTCGCTGCAGAGGACGTTCAAGACATGTTTCCTTCTTTGAGCACAACAGGCCGCCTGCATGTCCAGGTAGCCGACGTAGGTCTCTGAGGGAAATTTATGTTGGGGCCAGGCCAGGCCACTCTTGTGGCAGCGGCGCTTCGTTCTCCCTCTGAACCAACGCAGAAAGGTATATAAAATCGTTGTATGCGGCGCCCTGGTGGAAATGTAGGGCTGGCAAGAGACGGTGGTGGCGCAATGAGTCGAGTCGGGCACTTTTTTTTCCGATAATGTTGCGGTGGCTGTCCGATGGATATGAGGCATTGGAGGGAAGTTCCTTGACCATAAGGGTTTTCATACATCAGATGGACAGACAATACAGAACTATTGAGGGGGTACCAGGTTTGGACTCTTAGTCGTATAGAAGGCGGGCGGGTTCTGAGATCGCCGAAATAGCCATGAGACAAAATAGCTCCCTTCATTTGAAACGAATGAGGGCCGAGTGCATAGCTTCACAGAAGAAACACTTTTGGATAAACCAACAATTGTCATCCACGCATAGTAATCCAAGATTTCAAACTGCAACCTGCACATCGCCAACCCCCCTCGGCGTACGTGTATCACAATGGTCAACCTTAATTTTCTGTTCAGAATTTGTTGCTGTTTCACATGTACCTCGATCTATCCGTTCCTGAAGGCAAAGGCAAGGCAACACACTGCTCCACTGAATGTCAAAAACTTCACCGTTGGGAAAAAGGAGGTGTGTGCGGTTTGTGGGCCCTCCCTCTTTTATTCATTCCGCGGGCCCTTGACAAAAAGAAAAAAAATCTCGTCAATCCTAGGCAAAACAGGTAGCAGGTAGCAGGTAGCATTGACATTAGGACATACCAGCCCGTTTCAATGGTCCCTGCGTTGACTCATCGTATCACCTACGATAGTATGTTTTCCCCCCGATGTGGCTTGGCCGAATGACGCAATAGTACGGGAGGCGGTGGTCTTCAGCAAGAGGCGCAACGGATCAAGCTATTCGCCAGAGTAACATCTCTATGTCTCGGCCTTTCTAGCGACCATGTACACGACTACCTACCTCTTCCAGGGGAGGGGGGAAGCCGCTCCCGTCGGATACTCCTCCAGTACTTAACAAGATCTCAGACTTTGGCATGTATCGCCAAAAGCCCCGTCGATGTCAAATGCCAAGACCCAGCTCGCTTATTTCAACAGTGACATGTTCTCGAAAGGATCCTAACGACCATTGCTGCTAGATCCCACTTTTAAAACGAAGAGATCCTTCTCGACGTCGGGTGGTTTTTACGTTCAGCTGAGCTGAGCTGCGCTGCGCTCCGGCCCCCCTTTTTTTGACAGGCCTGCTCGCGAAAAAAATGTTATCAGAGTGAAAACGCGTCTCGGTTCTGGGAAACGAGAAGGCTAGGGCGACACAGGGGATTCGAGGCGCAGACTTGTGTGACCTCATCTGGGAATTCCTAGTCGAAGGCACCGTACCCCTCATAAATTTCAATGAGGCCTTGGACCAAGTGGCCGGAGTCGGCTATCCTTATGAGAAAGATGATTCTACCGTGGAAGAAGATGAAGAAGCCTGGTGAAGAAGTGGACGAGGAAATATAAAATCGGGTGACGTATTTCAGGCAACATATAATACGGCGATCAGGACATTGTCCAGGTGAAGATGTATTTTGGGTGTATCTCTACTCCTTCATTGCTAGTGATTCCGAGATGTTCGGCTTTTGGTCCTCATAGTGCTTTTATGATCCAGTTGGGATGTATGGAATGATCCCCAGTCAGGCCCTGTCACTAGTATTTACGAATGTCAGCTGGCGAACCATACAGTGGTAATAAATGTGCCGCGCCAACTCGCACGAGGAAAAAAAAAAAACACCGGGCATGTTCCTGCTTCGCGTAAGATTTTTTGCAAACGATGCTCGTTCCTCATGATTCCATATTCAATATTTAGGTTCGGTACCCAAGTGCCTGACCGTCATCATCAAGAAAGTTTAAACCCTGCATCACGACGGACTGAGGAATATACTGTACGGTGACTCTGCAGTGACGACACCCCAGCGACTTCGCCGTCGCTCAAACTGATCCATTACCTCCTTCGTCGATAGAATCTCCCTTTGAAGGCTCACACCCACAAAAAATCATATCGCCGACGTCAAGCCAAGGGTTTGTTACTCTCGCAGAATCAAGGATCAAGGTGGAGCGACAGAGATGTCGTTCTCAGAGTAGCCGGGTCAGTTCTCTTCGCCTCGCTTAATGGCCTTTTTGCCACCGCAATTTGTAGAAAGGACCCATCGAATCAAGTTGCTGTAGTGAGGGAAGACCGGGTTGCCGGTGCTCTGCTCTTCTATTCCACAGCTGCGACCCGCTTGGTCTCGAATATATCTGTGTTGAAAGTCAGTTGATACATCTTTAGGATCACCGCTCTTGACAATGGTCCTTCATCACTTTGTCGACGTCTTCATCAAAATACTCACCCTTGAGCTGCCTCGGCGAGGGGGAGTGCTTCGCGTCACTGAAATGGAGGGGTCGTCGAAGGGATGTCGTTCCCGGGACCTGTTCTAGAAGAAACGTTCGTTATGGCAATTGTACGTGGCTGGCATGACAGCTCTTGGGTGATGTGTTTTAGGGCCGGACATTCTGCGATATTTCCATGCCCTGCCCCTTACATCCTTACAGGGAGAGAAAGTTTCGCTACTCTCGATGGGTACTCATCCTAGGTTTGGGCTTACATTTCGGCGGTGTTCCTCAAATGCCATCCACCATGCCATCTCGATCCCACCCATCCGTTTCGTTCCTATCTGCTTGATCCATTGCACCGCTTAATTGAGAAGCTGGACAGAGGGGGGAAATAGACTGCGTTCGCAGGCTCCGAGATGAAAAGGGTCTTCAAGGAAGGACTGTGGCACCGAGACTTTCATTTCGGGCTCGCAGATGAGGAAGGGAATGTTCGTGTTCGTGCCATCATCGATTGGGAGTTCTCCGGTATAGGAGCGGGTTCTTTAGGGCCTTTCCTCTAGCCCTCTTCCATAAAACCTCTTCTCCAGTACGAAATTGTATTTCATTCGCTTAATAATTCGGAACCGACGCCTTCGGCGGACAAACTGCGTCTCTTGGATGAATGGCCCGAGCAGTTTCTATTCCTATTTCGATTGAAGGCTGCGTTTCCGTCGATCTATAACCAATGGGGACCTGGAATCGGACCCGGAACAGGTGCGTGGAAGGGAAGGGAAGGCCGTGAGCGACTTGAGAGAGTTCGTGAGGAGCTGGTGTCCGACAGTGGGGGACACGTCAAAGGTGCCTGGAAAGATGTCGTAGAGGCTGAGTGACACTTGGGTGCGGTTCCGTTACCATAGATACGTTTTGTCCTGAATAAACCACGAATGGAATCAATTTACGCACCCCCCGACCGGTAACGTTCTTGGACCCTCAGCCTCAATCCACGTTCCTCGCCAATGACCTTTATTTAGTTCACAATCTTGGCGCCATTGAGCAGCCCTGAATCATCAAACTAGGCGCTCGAACGTGATCCACACACCCTTGGGCAACTCAGACCCACACCACACCCCCTTTGATATGCAGAATCCCTGCACGACCATACCCAAGTAACCGGGATCATCAACATCTCAAGTAAGCCTGGTGACTTCAGCAGCAAAATTTCCGAGTCGCTCGACCATTTCCTTGACCGTGACTTTCGCCTCTGCCTTGATTTTTTTTCGAAAGGGCTCCGAGAGCGACAGCTTTGGTGACCAAGGCGACGGACCGTACTTGACCCGCGTGGTTAGCACTGGACTCTAGCTCGAGCCATGTTCCTTCGAATTTAATGTCACTGCCACGGTCCCCCGGTATTCTGAGGGCATCGTCAATGAATGTCTTGTGAAACAGAGGTTGTTGCGCACTCTCCCGTCATGTACTCCAATCCAAAGCAAAGGAGATCTCGGTTGCGAACCCATCCAGGTTTTTCACCTAGAAGACTTTATCAGAGAGGGAAAGTGGTCGAAGAGCAGTAGGGGGGACATGCCATGTTATCGACAGCATGCTTCAGTTTAATCGAGGTCTTATCACGGGCTTCGAAGGTCGCCTGGTAGGTAAGATCGCCGTTGACTACAGCGTCACAAACGCCGACGATATCCGCCACCCTGATCCTTGAAGTCCTGGAGTTCTTTCAGCTCATTCACTCCGGCAGCGATAGTGAGCGGTCCAACGACGGGTGGGTGAATCAGCAGACGAATCGCCAGAAGATGGCGATAGGCTGAGCATTGTCTCGGAATTGGCGCTCAACACATCACATCTTGGACATCGGACAGCCTCTACCACAGGAATGGACGGGCATTGATGAGGCAGAGGTGATAGCTAGGTCCTCTGAGATGCTGTTGACTTCGGTCCCTATGGGCGGCCATGGATGATGTCTGCTTCTCGTCGACAGAAAGTTCTTTCAGGGCATGGCTCAGCTGCGTGCATACCATACGCTTTGCGATGCCTTCCAGCGAACGTAAGAACGGAATCGGTCTCCCAGTTGGTCGTGGGGCCATCAAATTTCGGGACTGTAGTGTTCGGCAGATCAAGGGCATAGGCGGAGAGTAAGGGGATGAGATGAGATTGAAATGAATCAGTATCGGTCATCTTCAGAGCGGGTGAGAGCTTCAGCTAATGTATTGGATGATGGGTTTTGCGCTCAGATACAATGAATGGTGTTGATCGGGTGCAATGAGATAAGGGGCAATCTGGATTGGACAACCCGTGAGTGTTGTATATGTATGTGCATGTGGTACAAATACCTGCAACTGGTTCATACAAAGACTGAGTTTGAAACACGGAGAGGGATCCGATGGTTCTGAGGTCACGTAGTAAGACGAAGCCGCTAAATTATAGCCCTCTGTGGGAGCGACCCTGATGAACTCATTATAGTATTATTATGGTTCCAATATTAATACATACAGATGATGATACAGAGGGCGACCTGATCAAATCGTTGAGGACGTGAGAGATAATAAGCGATGGAAGTAAGAAACTAAGGTTAACAAAGGTCCGAAACCTAATGACAGCCCAGTTAATTGTAAGTTTCGCTGTGGTATATATGTACTCACCCATTCTCGAGTCGTCGACTACCGTGCATTCCGTGCCAAAATCAGATCGCGCGTATTCATCAGAGCTTCCGGTACCATCGAGGCCATCGCATGTTTCTAGATCCTCTGATTGGAATTGTTCCCCGACATTGTGAACCAGAGAGCCGACAGCGGAGTGCGATATGTGGACAGGACGTCGAAAGCTGACAGAAGGTGGAGGAGTCGTCAGAAATGACGTGCTAGTTGGATAAGTGGTCATGAACAAACTGCGGAAAGGGTTAAGGTTGTGGTAGGAACAATACGACAGTACAGGAGAACGTACGGGGACGAGGACATCGGACCGATGAGCTCCCAGTATTCCAAGTTGTTTTCATTAGAGGGACAGCCACGGGGGATACCCTCCCGCCATTTGATAATATTTGAATGGAGACTTGTCGACTCCTTACGTTCTTTAAATGCTGCAGTCAATTCAGAAGTAGAAGACCGATGCAACCTACGCATGTAAAAGTCTAACGGAGAGAAATCGATGAGGATATGTTCATCACGTACGAGCTGCACGCATCCCAGCCGTCGTCATAAATCCTCGGAGCAGCCGTTTCCACAAGCTTTTCGCATGATAAAGGATTGCGGACAAGATGGAAGGGTGTCGAGTTAGGGCTAGAAGGAGGATACAGCATCAGGAGATGGTAAGATTATTGAGAGAAACGTAAACCTGGCAACTCGTATATATGTTCTCCATCAACGATGGAAACTGCAGCAACGTTATTGTGGTCTAAAGCCAGAAGACAAGAGCAGCTGAAACACTGTTGGTCGGGTTGCACTGTCAATTAGAGGAGAACAAGAAGCAATTGAAAATCCATGATGCGAGGCCTAAAAGAACAAAAGCCAGGACAATCAGATTCCCCCCTGGGCCTGAGCTGAGGCCTGAGTCCGCAGCGTCGCCCAGTGGGATGGAAAGAACTTGAGTGATAGCCTGAAATATGGCCTTTATTGCAACCCTTCTGAAGATCCAGCGACATCGGAAAAAGGAAACGCTCGAGGACTGATGAGCAAACGCCCTACTAACGACGCGGCGGCCAAAACGTTGCACAGAACATTGAACGGCTCGTTTTAGTGCGATACACGGCCAGAGAGTAAGTACGAGAAAAGGAGTGAATCATGGGCAGAAGCCGATGTAATTTTTTTTTTGCCTTAACTTCATCCGTGACGCCGGACTCGTGGAAGGGTCACATGATGAAGAAAACCCTTTCGGGAACGGTCTTTGTTCTTTCACTGTTTTTTGTTTTCAAACATATTTGGAACTGTCAATTGTTGCTATATAAGAAGAACCCAAGAAACGTGTAAGAAGGCCTTATTCTCTTTCTTCTTCCGTTACGCTCACCATGTTCACTCCTTCAGACACCTTGTATGACCACTCATTTCACGCAAAGGCCAATGCTCTACCTTCGGATGATGCTGGCCATCTTCAGGAGGATGCTGAAGACAAATACTACGAGACGCGATGTATCCTAGAGGGCAGGACGCGGCAAAATCAAGTAATGGGTTCCGATGCTGACTTGTCGAGGGACCTGCACGCGTTTGCAGCCTTGTTCAACCGTGCAAAGTGCGTGTTTGAATCAGCCCAAATTTTTTGAAAGGTCTGCTAACCGGTCTCTGTTTTTTTTTTTTTAGCCGCGCGGAACCAGAATGTGAAGCTGCAGCTGTTACACAGCCAACCCAGCATGACATTCACAAAGCCTCCTACATCCAAAAGTGGCGCCAGGGAGTCAAGGAAAACGCGCGATGGGATATTTCTGTTCAGGCCCCCACCTCACCGTATGCTGCGCCACCCTGGTACTCTCCTTTGTAATTGACGACTGTTTTTTTTTAGGACGTTCATGTCCTTCCCAGGCTCCCCGGTAGCCGTCGTCAGCCCCGCCGCGTTAAATGTCACGTCCCTTCCTCCATACAAATTCAGCTCTGCCTCGGACGAAAAGCGCTATCCTTTTGGCAACCGTCGCGCTGCTACTGCGCAACTGGTTGAAGAGGAAGACTATGACCTTGACCTTCTACTCCAGCAGCACGAGGTGCAGACAGAAACGGAGGACGAAGATGTCGATGGGCGAACCGAGTCATCCATCGTACTTCAAGCGATCACCCCTCGTATGTGTCATCAATGCTTTAACTCTTTATTTAGTTCTCATTCAAGCACCAGCTCTCCGACCAGCTGACAACACTCTCAAGCTTAGCAATCAAATCCGTTGGATCCCATCTCGTTTGAAGTACACTCTTCTCTCGGCTAAGCGAAAATGCTTCTGGCGACGATGATCATCTTTCCCGTCCTTGTCGAATGCCACTTGTGCATTGAGATTCTTCTATCGCATCGTAAAATGGACATCACGAAACGGACATTTATTTGATACTTCAATGACTTACTCGTCCTTGGCACGACTTTCTTTAGCCTTTGCATCTTCTTTTCTGTATCATCAAGTGATTGTATCTACTGCGCAAACATGTCTGTTTTCCTAACATGTGGAGCCTTTCTAAGAACAACCACGCCCCGGGACGCTGGACTGGATGAACTCTCATGATAATCATCTTCAGTTCCCCGTGCGACTACTTCTCCGGCGGCCCAAGGAAGGCACTGAAGCCATCACGAACCATCCTTGGGGAACGCCCAGACGGTACTGAAAAATCCGGCCTGGGCTTTCCATCAATCCATGCGTGTGCAGCTTACCCTTTCCCCAGCAAACATGCAAACGGTAATCTTGATGATGGGCGCAGACACTATTAATGCCACGACGAGTGTGATCTGGCAGTTCCCATCACTCAAGAGAGAGAACAACAGCTCCAGTTCCAGGGTTCGATACCGCGGTAAATGTACATGGAGTACTGCTGGTACGTATGTCAAACAGTGTCAATCAAAGCTGGCTATTCATGAACCCACGAAACACGCTCTGCATGAATGACAATCACATTCACCGTTATTAATGAATCTCTGTAGAGGTGGCGGCGCTCGAGGACGCCCGTACGTATACAAATCTCTTCGTTCCGATCGATACCTGTGGGTTCGGGGTTGGCAACAGGAAGAACAGATATGCACATCTGGGCGCAGATTCTGGGAAGTTCACTACGAGTCAGGGAAGATGACGAGCGCTGAAAACAGTGCGTATGTAATTCTTCGTCAAAGACAATGTACCGGAGACTTCTTCAAAGATCATCACCTCGGGGTCGGGCAGCTCAATTGTTTCATGCGCTACTGTGCAGAGCTGGGTGAACTGTCAGAAGTTGCAGCCCCTTCAACACAACGACAACATACTGTTCGGCCACTGATGGCAGGTATTCAACAAATGGATTAGTGAATGATAGTACGAAAGTAAGGCTACACTCTGGTTATTAACATAAATAACATCCTTTGACGAGCTACGGAATTTCAAAATTGACTTTCTTGGCGCAAAATCGTTAGAGATAAGTGCGTCAACGAACAGAACTCACTCAAGAGTGATCCACCTCCATCAAATTGCTCTCTGGCTCCACAGGCTCTCTTGGCTCCTGCGTCGGCGATACTTGTCGCTTTTGGCTAGCATGCGGTGGCATAGGCGGTATCACGTGTGTGACAGGAGACCTCGGTCCAACAGCCTGAGGCGGAGGTCGAACATCCTGCTTTTTCGAACGACGAGACGCATTGAAATGGTTACATTTCGGACAAACGTATTCTGAAGCATAGCATTTCATGTTAGAATAATAATCACCCAGCAAAGAATATGAAACCCACGAGTATCTTCCCAGACACTCTCTTTGACTAGGCCGTTGTGGGCGAAGCATTGCTCGCAGATTAATGCAAACCGTGCTTGGTCGTCGTCTCCAAGGACGGCATCGGCGAGTTTGTCGTACCACTGTTTCCGTGAAGGACCAGGGGGAGGCTGGGGAGACGCTAAGGAACTTTTCAGAGATGCCAGGGTAGGAGGGAAAGGAGAGACATACCGATAGCTCGGTTTTGGGGTGTGTTCAATGCGGAAGACTCAGCATTACTGATGGGTCGCGTGGGGGTACTGGGCGACCCTTGAGGCTGGGCAACGATCCTTTGGCGAAGAGGAGATGATGCGGGCGAATTTTCATCGTAGCGTTGCAGCAGTTCCCATGTGGAGTAGTAATTGGTCTTCTTCTTGATCTCCTCTACTTTCGTCCGTCGCTCCTTCATTAAATTTTGTAACGTTTTCTCTGCACCGGAGATGAGCTCGCCATGGCATTGTAGATATTAACACATGAACATGCCTTCTGCATCGCCTTTACGAGTATACCAAATTTGCACAATTCGCCTGATGAACAAGATGCTGTTGAATCATGAGCGACGCTCGTATATAGGGCAATTCAAATACGCACATGATGGGACCAACGACAACCGGTAACCCTTTCACTGCCTTTTCCACTCTCAAATTCTGGTAATATCCAGAGAGACTTGGCAAGGCTCCTGTATACCACAAAGTGACATAGACGACCCATGCCACAAACGTATACAGCGTCACTAACAGTGTCGACCGACGTTCACGAAGTCGTATGTCCGCAAGATTGGTCTGGCGTTTCTGGATGTCTACAGCCAACAAAGATAGGACTGTCTCGTAGTCATCCTCTGTATTCTAGCGGAGGCAATGTCAACGAATTATCCCAATACAGCGATACCACGGCACACCTTTCGGAAAAAGGAGAATAAAAATGACATTTCTGCGCCGCACAGCCGACCTTCGCGTGAAGATGGGGCACGTTGAATGGTAAGGAGCGTGCCAAGGCGGTGACGACAGCGATCGTGTTCACCGTCTCGTCACTTCCGCGTGACAGATGTGACATGTTTTACGATCACCTGATCACATCACTAGAACTCTTCCAATGACTCGTTCCTTGATTCAGATTGTCCGATTTTACTAGTTCCTCCAAGGGATACCGCGATGTGGTACACGGCGAGGTGGGTCTACGTGCCTCGTGTTATTTATTCCTGTGCTGACGTCTGCAGGTGACTAGTAAATGTGCACTGCCTCCATCAGGTCGCGCCTTGGTAGAGGGGCAGACGTGGCATACACAGCGAAGTCTGCATTTCATCTCATATTGTAATTCTGGTAAGATATTTTCCCAATATTTTGCTGCTTTCAGGTATTGTTGATTTGTTCCCTTCATTTTACTTACTGGGCAACCCTGGTTAGAACTTAGGCGCCGAAGTGGGTACCGATACCTAGGTTCATTCGAAGGTGATCCCTGTATATACGTTCAATCACCGATTGTCAGTAATTATCGACTTGATCGCAAGGCAAGAACTGCGAGAAGAGTACTCCCATACGATCCCGAGTTATGTGGTTCACCCCGTTCGTAGCATGGGAATGGAACCCGACTTACAACAAAATATCCTACATTCAGTTCAAACCAAACGACCTTCTGGCATGGTCTGATCCATTCGAGGAACTGACAAGTCAATACCGCTCAGTTGTCCAATCCGGTTCTCAAAGTTGAAGTTCGGCTCCGTCTGTCTCTGTCTCAGCCCCAATAGTCCAACCTTGTTGTCCTTTGTCGTCTTATGGTCAGCCTCAACGATTCAACTCCACGCGGTACATTCCATAATGTTTCATACTATAGCATGTTCGCCACACCAACTCTACATTTCCTCCGTTCGTTCCTCCCCACCGGGCTCGATATCCTCCTTCCTTCCGTGAAGTGCGGGTCAGGATTCTCATACATCCGAGGAAAATCGCGGCATCAATCGACGCGGATCCTGGTTACAGATGACCTCCCCCCTATGGCTCCTTCCGGTCCGAGAAATATTAACTTTGCCAACTTGTACCACTTTAGCCGATGATCATCTCCAAAAACCGATGGGGCCTGAGTCGGGTTTCCCCTTATCATTTATGGACCAGGAAGAATCACGTTCCTGCGCCACAGAAGGACCTCGAGCTTATGCTGACAGATCTTACAATGGCTACTCCTTGGTACATAATGATGTACGACCAGAAACGGTCTTCATCCTGTTCGGTCTTTCTTGCAGGAACCATTCAGCGGCGGCACCGCAATGGTGAAAGGCTGTCTTACGGATTCTTAGCCTGAAATCCGCTGTCCATGTCGTATTGTTTTAGAAAAATTTTGACCAGCGGGGTCCAGACTGTCGTTCCGCGTGTAGTTCAAGTTACGCACTGCCTGACGCTTTACTCCTACCTCGGTAAGTTTCTTTATGTCCGGGTTTTACCTCTGGAAGGCGGTATTTCAGTTCATCTGTTGTCCTAGAGACAACGTATCAAGGTACCAAAAGATGTCACAAGAAATTGTTATCCACCCCGCTTGCGCGAATCATGATATGGCTGATAAAGTGCTTGCAATCCAGCGTGAGTGGCAATTGATTTTGATGTTTCCAAACATTGGATCAGCGCCCAGGGCCTTTTGCTGATCCACGCCTATACATATCGACCAGCATAGTTTGGACATTGTTCCCCTAACTGAACAATCTTTTTCTAAAGAAGCTTCGTATTATTTCACAGTTTTCTGCAGCTTCACAGAGCTGTGCTATTGATGCATGTGCTTCTTTTGGGGGGGTTACTCATAATTACTTCAGGTACCCATTTAAAGCTCGAAATTCTTATGTTACCTCATTCGGATGACAATCCCCCTGACATTGACAGTTGTATAGCTCCTGACAAACAACCCATGGATCCAGTCTCCTTCACGAGGGGGCAGCCCACGCCTCCCAAGATAGTATTCGCAAACTTCCGCCCATGTCGGCCGTGTTGCTCAATTTACGTAAACCAGGGCCTTGGCCATTTTCGGCGCTTGTTAACATCACATCAATCGGAAACCTGATACAAGCAAGGGTTGGCTGACTCGGCCTTAGATCTCCCAAAGATCATGCCGCCTTTAAAAGCATCGAGGGAACGACTGCTCTACTCCCTTTCGATCTTGAATCATCATCAAACCCATTATCTTCGTCGATTGCACCTCCACCGGTCCCCTCTTATACCCCACATCTTCACCAGGGTCCATTCAACGCACGTCGCTTAATCTCGATTTGGACACTATTTAAACGCCAACAATAACACGTTTATCTATCCGCTCCCGTCTCTTGCTTCTGGTCGCCTTTTTCCTTTTCCCTCGTCATGTACCCCAACATGAATCATACCCTACTTTATCGACCCGAGGAAGAGTTTTCGGATATGGAACTCTCATCTTACCCTGGAATCGATTTATACCCTGGTAGCGCGTCAGATCATTCAGAGAGCTCCCCCAGTGCGTGGGTGTATGGTACGTCTTTTTCCTTTTCCCATTCTTTCTTTCTTTTAACATCCCTCTAGACGACGTTCTTCAATACTCCCGCAACTCCCCCTCACCCCCTGTCCTCTCCCGCCATCCAGGCCACTTCGAGCACTGCAACGCGCGTCCCTTGGCTAACGGCATAAACATGCCTAACGGTCCCCTTTCTGGAAGCGCCTGGTCCCACAATGTGGGCTACCATCCAGACGCCGCCAACTCGACCCTTACGGAAGAATATCCCCTCTATGGACGTCGCTTGCCTTCGCACAGGTCGGGAGGCGGTGTCAATTGGACCACGACACCAAACCACCTTACCATTGACCCATCCCAATGGGCGCCTGTTTCGGAGCCAACGTACGAGTCGCAGTCGTGGGATAGCTTGGGACTCTCTTCTTCCCTAATAACGGACCCTGTGGAGGTGAAACCCGACTTGGCGTTCCTTCGAATGCAGCGAGCGATGAATGCGCCCATTTCCCCTTCCCCTACTCCTTCCCCCCCCTCACCGGGCATCAAAACGCCCACTATACCCTCAGGACGCAGGCCGGTCGACGCCGCCGGCGCGAAACAAAAGTCATGTTCCCATTGCCACGCGACGACTACCCCCCTCTGGCGCCGAGAACCAGTCACGCTCAAGCCGCTCTGCAACGCTTGTGGTCTCTACCTTCAGCAGCGCAACAAGTTGAGACCACAGGAGCTCATTGACGCGGATTTGGATGACGGCAGCGAGGAGTCAGACAAGGACGCGACCGGACCGGAGTGCAGCCATTGCCACACGCGAAATACTTCGGTATGGCGACGGAGCAAGACGGGGGAACAGCTGTGCAATGCCTGTGGAGTGTATCTGCGTCTGAGGGGAAGGGATAGGCCGTTGTCGCTGAAACGGAATAAGATCAAGCCTCGCTCGAAACATCGGGATTCAGGGTCGATCTCGCCAAAGTGAAAACGATTATATTATTCAAATTCAAATGTATTCACTTGGTTTCTGGCCAAGAACGCTTTAACTACTTGCTACGTCTGGTACTTGTAATATGTTATTGTGCCGTCGGTTGCTGCTAGCTACGATGGAGAGACTATACGGTTATGTCATCTGTGGTAGATACTATGATTGCACCGCGTTCTCCGGCCTATGAATGGATTTTCCCATGGATTCGGAAAGTTGCACTGTGTAGACCAGAAACGGCTTAAACAATTGCATCACGACCCCCATCACCCACGACTGCCAATCAACTAGAGCTGGAGACCGTGGGCGGATCATGGGCTGTATGCGGACGGTTAGATAACCACTGGAGGATCTAGGCACGGTCCACCTTGTGGACTGTGACAACGGTGAGAGTTGCAAGTGTCGGGTTGTAACAAATTGAGGAAAAATTTGAAGGACGGGATCCATCGCGTTGGGTCACATGGTCAAGCGGGATTTACAACGGATTCAAATATTGAAGATCCAGACTAAAGCTGCTAGAGGCTAGCCGCGGTAAGGGACAGTGGCGGCCACGGTACATATAACCCGTGTCTCCGACAATGTCAGGATAGCACAATGCCAGAAGATATCTAAAAATGCTTTGACAGATCAGGGGGAGGAAGACGGAGACGGATCCACACGCAATTTCAAAGGTGTAGGATGCACCCCTCTCTTGCATGAAGGGGGCACTGAGTCTCCTCAATCTGTCAATTAGGACCCGAAACATTGTACATCCGCCGATCACGAGTGCTGGAACTTTAATGAAACTATCGCACGCGTAGATATTGCAAGTCGCGGACAACCAGCCATGGAGAATGATGCCAACTTGTAATGATCGTACTACACAAATTAGCGTTGATTCGGGTGTCGCGTTCGTAAAGTCTATGGGCGGCGCGTTCTTGGTGGTAACAGTCTCGACGGTTACAAGATTTTACCGGAGTAGACGTCATGTCGACATTTTACCACCAGAGATATGAGCTCAACATGGCGGGCGCTGTAGAAGCGACCGGTGATAACACCCTGATCCCTGTCCCCACTTGTCATCAAAGCGATTATCAACATCTAAGGCAAAAATAGGAATTAAGGAAGAAGCATTCGAAGCATCATGATCCTCAATAGAGCAGTTTCATACGGATCACCACAGATAGTAGAAAATCCTTCTTGCACGATCACAGAAGAAGCCGTCATTTTACCACGGACTGTTCTCGGACGGTATAGCCAAGTCATATTCGTGCGAAGGAGGTGGAGATACCTCCGAGCCTAGTGGAGATTGATAATTAGGAGAAAGATATTTTTATGCAAGTGGCGGAAGACCATCACTTGTGGCTTGCCCCCACTCTAGGAAGGATGAAACAACAGGAAACACAAACCAGAAGAAATACCGGCATTCATCTGTAGCTGGATTTTGACTTGTGGGCGCCTATATGCGAAATGCGCAGCGCCAGATGTCGGCCTCGGCGCGATCTCGAGCGATTTGCTGTAAACGAGCTAAAATAAGGATAAGGAACGGCTCAAAGCCCACAGCCGCCACATCCAGCGGCTCCGCGTTCGGCCAGCTCCTTAGCTAGGGCTCCTGAGGACAGCATATATGGAATTTAGTCGGCGTCAGGTGAAAGCGGGCGGCCGCGTTGGAATCGGAGATCAAAAGCGGCGTCTAAAACAGGAAAGAGTGCATCGGTGGTTCGAATCTGGCTGCGATGATCTTTTCTTGACGTCATGTCCGACGACCTCTCTGCCTTTCTTCCTCTCATCGTCGTCGGTGGCGACGTAGCGACTCTCTCGTTCTGAAGAATGTCAACTTCTCGGCGGCTCTGTTGGCGGTGCTCAGTGTACCACCACTAATACACAGCTCAAAGTCAACAAGGCAGCGGAAATAGTTGCTGCCCTGAAGAACGGGAAGTATCCATCTCAGGACCAACTGGACAGCGTCTTGCGCTAGTTTCTAAAATCGGATGTTCTGCGCGAATCTCGGTATACTGCTACGCGGACAAGTGGGCAGGGTCAAAGGATCATCCACGACGTCCGTCAGCTGTGCACAGTATTATTAGCTTTTAGAGTGGAACAGGATGGCAAGTGGTTTTTTTTTGTTTTCGAATGATTCATTTCATTGTGATTGATTATTTATTTACCTAACGTACAGGCGATGATAGATTGCGGGACCTTCTGTTCCGCACCAATACGTTCTCGCCAATACATTTCTGAGGCCGCTAGATTCCTAATGATATTGAAGGAGGTGAAAAGGCAGTTAAGGTAGTTTTGCATCAAGGTGTGGCTTTTTTGTTATCCTTGAATCGGCTATATATCAATTCTTTAGTTCCGCTTCCGCAAGATCTGGCACACGATTTGTATCAATTCATCGATACAGCCAAGTCATTTATGGCGCTTCTCCTCACATCGACTGCCGTTCAGACTGTTGTCACAAATACCATAATCCTAGTTCAGGAAGTCATCACCGAGTTTGCTGGCAGCGTCAGTGATGTTCCACGACAAGTTCAAGGCGTCGCTGAAGGCGTAGAAAAGAAATTGGACGCCGAGGTCGACGTGCCCCCGTATCCAACATCGCGCATATACCCACTCAGCTCCAAGCGGCGGTTAAGGAAGGGACAGATAGCACGACCGTGCCTTTGCGCAGAATACAACGCCCAAGTATTCAGCGGACGACTAAATTAACACTCCGCACCTCTGCTCCGATGATGCCCAGACGCCAGACGGATTCCGCTGCAGAGGGAATTCAAGCAGTAAGTTTCAATTACGACAACAATGCCTGTTTAATGTCAGTGCGTAGATATTGGCTGAAGCCCATCGAGATGCACGTTATATCGCAGCCCTAAAGGTCCTTCTCTCACTGTTTGAGAAGTGCCTCTCCATTCATTTGGCTGTACCTGGGGGACATGCTGTCGTAGCCCAGTGCTCCGTCCCACAGGTTCAAGTCCATCGCGCTGCAGACGCTAAGACTTTGCTTCAACGTTTGGTGTCAGGAAAATCTCTAGATCCGCTCTGCGCCTCATTCAACAACCTCGTGGCCGCTGTCGCATCTGTCCCGCGTGAAGACCATGCGGTCGTTCAACTTCATGCTTACTTTACGGAGCTCAGAGGGTGCCTGGCGCTTGGTTCTTCAGATCCCTCCTGTGTCAAATCAAACAGGTGTAAAATGGATATCTCGCAGATGATCCATTGCGGCCGAATCATTCTGAAGGCAGCACATAGAGCTGAGCCCAGGCCTTCATAGCATCTCTGCCTGAAGACCATACTACCGTCCGACTACTTCGTATCTTGACGACTCTTTCAACGGACATTCATGATTATCTATCATCCGTTCGTTCACCCCTCCGCAAGAGGCGCACTTTACTTTTCGGAAGCGATCTGGAACGACGTCGTCGTCGTCGTGGTCGCCATGAACGCATTGCATTCTTCTCGCTCATGCGGACCATATTTAAGCCTGATGGAGCGGTGATCATTCCAACGTGAAATTGGATGTGAGCAGTCGACGGTCGACTAATGAGAGTGTCTTTAGCTGATGACGCTCGGGATGAAGGATGGATGGTCTGCTAATGTTGGGGGCGATCCAGAGAGTGGATGTGCCAAATTGGCTTTACTCCTGGGCTCAACCATTCATTGTCAAAAGATGGAGCGAGTTGCACATTGACTTTGCTACTGCGACAGGACCGGAAAACATGACTGCCGTCACGTCTTCGAACAAGGTTAATATTCATATCGACGGCGTTTTTGCGGGAGCGATACATAGTGTTTGGACGATCTGGGGGTATTCCTTCATTGGGGCACGAAGATGAGGGTGTATTAGGCCTTGACTTTGGGTTGGGTGGGCTTGGCGGGGCCATCATCGGCATATTACTCGTGCTTGGCACTCAGACTGTCAGAGAGAGTCAGGTCGACTTCACCATCGCCAGTGTCTCCATGAGTTCACCCCCTTGATGGATTTGAAACACTGGATTTTGATTTTGAATGAGCCTGCTTACGCAGATCATCCTGCCTCTGGTCAAGTGGTTCGTACGAAGGGAGCTAAGAGAAGGTTGGTGGAACAATGGCAATCAATGGCTTGGCTTGGCTTGGCTTGGCTCATGACCTGCACGCTGTCCAAGGTGAAACGCAAAAAAGGACGCGGCGGACAATCATGGTGGACTGCTATCATGAACGTAATAGCTTCGGGACAGCTGTTTGGCAGATCCCCCCAGCTGACAGACCAGATGTGCGTACTGAGTCAACGGTATCGTTTTCACAGGCGTTCAAATTCAGCGCGTGGAAGCAGACACTGGTGGCGAGTTTCAATCGATGCGCACGTCGTTTCGGAAGTTTCAGACCAGGTTATCCACTAGCATGCGGAGGAGCGACCCGTGGATGTGGAGCAACGAGTGAGAGAAGAAGTCGATGCTGTCGGGGAATTGATTGATAGTAACCGGAGACAAACTTGCGCACGTGCGGAGAGTAGGGGAAAGGTGGGTATCGGCGCCGGATGGAGGATGGGAGAAGTCACCCGTTCGGAGTGTAGTAGGGAACGCCGTGCGGGGGAGGAGGCCTCCCTGAGACGATGTGCACGCAGCCCGAGGGGGGATCTGAATTGCCGGGCGAGGTACTGGATAAAACGTGTGTGGGTTTAGGTCCAGGGTCGCGCCGCTAGGATAGTTCTGCTCACTAGGACCGCAGGGCCCACCCTGCGGGTCGGGATTCAAGAACCCAAATAATGGAGACTTCTGAAACTTTATAGACAGCAGGGATTATATCGGAGGGGACATTAGTATTGAGTTGGAATCAAACCCTGATGTCTGTTTTTGCAACCGGTCATTCATATAATTACTGGTAAATTACTGCCACCTTTCAGGGCAGGGGTGTTTTAGTTTCTAAAAAAAACCTCGCCCACCCTGGGAAAATGTTGCTGATTATTACTAATAGCAATAGTTCTTCGCTCACGCTGACATGAACAGACTTGCAGGTAAATATTGGTACCTATGTGAATACCATTTCTTGATAGCTATATTTAGTGATACAAAAAAAAGACAGAACAGGACAGATGTGGTGGTCGGCGATTCTGGGAAACATAAACATAACGGGGAGGGATTCTGCTATCGGAAGACTGGTTTATTCGGATGCGAAAATGGGAGACTAGTTGATATTCTTCAAAGCTTCGAGCGGGGTTTTCAGACGACTGGGATCAAGTTCTTCATCTGAACAGGACTTGCCGGAAGACCTGGTGGATGAGACGGAACTGGGCCTTTATAGATACTATTGGCTAACAGTTTACCAGACAAGGATGCATCTTCAAGCCGTGCGAAGATGGTTTTGGTTAAACGAATAACGTCGCACAAGAATGTCACCTACAATGCCTGTGCCTGTTAGATGAATGTCCTAGGGCCGCTAGCAGGACCCAGTCATCGACTAGGACGATTAAAAAAAGTGACGCAGAACAAAAAGAAATATGACGAGCGTGGGATTCGAACCCACGCCCCGAAAGACCAGATTTGGTAACTGAGTTGGTCGATGCATCGAGACCTTTTGCTTACCCTTATTTGTCTACGAGCTTAGTTAGTATTTGATTTGCCACCGAACCAGTATATAAAGTAGCTAGTTCTTTTGTACTGGGTCGGAGCTTTGACAATCAACAGTCTATACACCTGTTTATGATTGTGCAAAGTTTCTTGTGTGAGCAGTGACCTTGGCACCACCCTCACATATTTTTGACAGTACACTGACTGTATCTTGCTTTACTTCTTACTCTCTTAACTGTGCTTATTCTCATAACTCTACACTTTTCATTGTCTTCTGGAACCCTGAGGTATGATCAACCAAGGACAATCCAAATCTTGACAAAACACCAACTAAAAAACCCAAAAATCACTTCACTCTCATTGAAGGATGTCTTATTACAACCTTCACAGTCAGCAAGGCTACAGCACTGTCCTAAAGACACCTGGGATGGACAGTTCTCTTTCAGAAGTAGTCCTATTCATCTGAATCAAAGAATAATTCATCAGTAGTCTGAAATGACAAGAGAGCCACAATTCTTTCTCCAAGAAATTATTGGAGCCTGTGATCAGAGACATGGGCATTGAGAGGGACTCTAAGCCTGTAGATGTCAAGTACTGAGTTAGTGTGAGAGGGAATAGTATCTGTGTCAGTGATGGTGGGGGAGCTGGGTTCTCTTCTGATAGGGGGATAAGTGTTTCATCTAGTGGCTTCACTAGAGGTAATGGCTTTAGCTGACCCTGTCTACAGGTCAGTACTAGTGGGAGTACTGGGCTCTCTGAATGGAGAGATGGTGGACTTGGTTCATAGTCCATACCAACTGGGACTCTCTGAGCCCCAGATCACTGCTTTAAGTTCTTGCTATTGCTGCTTAAACTGGCAGTCATACTGCTCTTTGTTGTGTAGATTCTGTCACCAGGCTTGCTCAGCCTCAACCCACTCAAGGTCAGCCTCTGCTGCCTGGATCTCTTCTGCTGTGAAGTCTGCCTCATATCTTCTAATTTTGTCTTTGATGATTGGTCTCCAGAATGTATGTCCTTATCCTAGCTTCATGTCTCAGGTGTATACATCCTTGTGTCCAGAAGAGGCTGGGCTCAATGCTGGTGTTGCATAGAGCAAGTTGTGTCTGGAGTTCACAGGCAAAATGGGTCAGGATCCTGAAGCTACCCAAGCAGCATCAAGAGAGTTTTGAGCATGGTTTCCAATCTCATGCTCAGCTGGGGCAGTAGAGGAGTCAGGAGAGGGTTTATTGTTGAAGAAGTCATTGGAGAGGTCCTCATCCTCATGATCTGAGACCAGAGAGAAGCCCAGCAGGACCCATAGGTTTCTGAACCCCATGAGGTGATTATTGCTGTTTCTGCTAGTTGTTCATTGAGGTTGAGAGAGATATTAGTGTCTCTCTTCTTCTGGAGTGCTCCTCAAATGTGAGCTGCTAGGCCCAGCTTTAGATATGAGTCTGATTGGAGGCTGGAAGGAGACTCAGATAGAGGGGGGAATGTCATGGAAGGGGAGGTCTGGTGTGACATTTCATAGAATCTGCTGTATCTGTTGAAAAGCTTGGTAGTGCCTGACTACCCATGCTGCTACTGATTGTCATCCACAGCAAAGCTGTATGATTGCCAATAAGTCTAGAAGCATTTCAATAATGGAAGCTAAAAGCTTAAAAAAGTCATCAGTGAGATCAGGAGTTGTAGTGAATGCTGGTGGCATTCAGTTTTCTTTGTGCCTATTGTGTGTAAGAAAAGGGAAGCAGAAGCTTCAAGCTAATTGTTAGACCTAAGTTGCATGTGATCAGAACACATGATAAACAGATGCTGTATCATATTCATACAGTCATGTCTGAGTTCACTGTTTGTATCTGTTGATCAATGTGCTTCAAGGCCATTACAAGAGGCTCAAGAGTGAAGTGGTATATGAATAAACTTTAGCTTGAAGCTGGAGTTATACAGTGAGAGCTATTGTACTTATATACTACTTGTCCACTGAGATAAATATATTGCTATCTATTGTGTCTATGCAAGTGTTACAATTTTTTCTATTTTCTTTTCTTTTTCCTCAGAAATGACCCCTATCTTTGCTTAGTCAGGGTGCTTAGGCCAGTGCTTAGAACCATGGGAACGCTTAGCTCAGCAACTCAGTTGGTCACTCTCTTATTGCAATGCTGTATGCTGTGAAGGGAGAGACAATGTCCTTTTTGTCTTTCAACTGCAGCACAGCAGTAACAGCACAACAGCAAGACAACAGCTTTTGTGGAGAGCCTGGCAACAGCAGGGGCAACAGCTCTATGACAGACAACAGCTTTTGTGAATATTTATTTATAGCACAATAACAGAACAGTATTTAAGTAGTGTAGCTCTTGCTGTAATACCCCAGCTTCGAGCTAAAGTTTGTTCTCTACCATCCTATCTCGAGTGACTTGCACCATCTTGACCACACACCTCTGTTAACACATCAGTGAACTCAGTCAGTCTAACCTGAAGTGCGAGGTTCTGAACTGTTTATCACGTGTTAATAGTCACATGGAGTTTGGGCTTAATAATTAGCTTGAAGCTTCTTGCTTCCCTTCTTTAAGCCTAAAAGGCTAAAAGAACCAAATGCCTCACAACCTCTTCTTGATCCTCAGGACAAGAAATTACATGCCTTCTATCACCAGCTTTATCAACTCCAAAGTACCCTCTTCCTCTATTGAATTGCTGACTGTTCTTCTAGAAACCCTAACAACCAGGATAATCATTGATTATCAAGCAAAGGATGATACAATCTAACAACTCATCAATGGCCTCTCTACCGAGGCCTGAATCAATGGACTCAGACCTGGATCAGGGTCTGAAAGCATGGGCCAATCAGATCCTTGCCAAGAGGAGGTGGAATCCCTCCTGAGTCTCCCATGCCTTCTGACCCCGACACCGACTCCACCAATGACTTGGTGGAAAAGAAAGAGGATAAGCATTGCCAGCAGTGGAAAGATGAGCTCAACGAGCAGCACAGACAGCTTGCCAGGCTTGACCAACCAACAGAGTGGGGCCCAGCCCTAAAGCTCCAGGAACATCGAGAATGGCTCCTGGAAACCGAGTGGGATGAAAATCTCAGAGATGATCCCTATGCCTCAGACCACTGGGACAACACTGAAGACAATCAGGATTGAAATACTGTTGGCAGGCCAACAGGAGACAAAGGGGAGGGAGGACTCCTGCCAGCTCAAGAATGAAAATGGGTCCCAGGCACCGAGTGGAGTGAGGATCCTGAGGACGACCCTTATAGGGTTGACCGATGGGATTCTGACACCGAAGACAGAGAAAGCAGTCCAGACAGACCCTTATCCAGCAAGTCAGGAAGCAGCAGCTTCCTGGCTGATGACGAACTCTTTGACTGGACCATCAAGGTCCAGTTACCAACAAAAATTCCCTCCATCAGCAATCGAGCCCTTTGTGGGTTCTTGCACAAGAAGCTCACTATCTTATTCCTCAATCAGGACTTCTACCAGGAATTCCAACAATATGCCACCTGGATTGAAGGAGAAAGAGAGTGGTGGCACTATGCCGAGACTGAGGGGGTCTGGGACCGACCCCGTTGGGGGGTTCTCCACTGGAGGAGCAGTCCAGAGGACCAATACCGTCCTCAGAAAGGATGGAACTGAAGAAGTGGAAAGAACCTCTCTTGCAAATGATCGGTGGTTGAGGTTCATAGATGAGGAGGCATTAGAGAGAGAAGGCTGAGAATAGCAGACAGAAATTGGACAGTACTTGAAGGCTCGGCCAAAGCCCAGGCTGATCTGGAGTACACCCTTGGTACTACCAGGAGATAAGTACTCACTATCTTTGGTGAGCACTATACCACCATGGGAAACTGGTATCCTATCAAGCAGTACCACGATATGGCTTTCTGAGGAAAAGCCAAAATACCCAAATCCTTAGACCGGCACAGGGAGCCGACTATTGGAAGGACAACTGCTGCCCAATGAAGCTGAGGGGAGCAGATCGGTTCTGACCAATATAAAGAAGGATGATCCCGAAGCAACAGCACAGGGATGGACCATCAAGGGTAGGCAGATCGTCCAAAAGGAAGGACCGCTGACTCCAAGAAGTCTCATTGCCGATGATAGGTCCTTACACTCCTTTCCAGAGCCCCCGATGGATTGGGCCAGTCCCCCTGAGGAGA